ATCTAATAGAATAATAAATTTCCTGCCCTCCACTCGAAGCTTCAAGGGAGATGTCTTTGGCTCCACCCACTTGGCCCCTGTTCAGATACATTCCTGGCCCTCAGAGCAAAGAAAAAGGGACCCACCCCAGGAGTCTGTCTGGAGAGCAGCAGAGAGACCAGAAGGAGACAGAAGCCGGGGAGTGGGGTTGGGGGGAGAGCAACTCCTGAGGACCCCCGGATGAGGACCCCCACTAGAGCCAAGCATCCATTTTCCACAAGATGCAAATGACTCCTTTGTCAGTCAGTTCTGACTTCATGCATTTACTCGAAGGCAGGAGCAACTAGACCGATTCACCTCAGAGAAATCCCTTCAGTTGCCTCCACATTTTCATCGCAATCTTCCTTCTAGGAGGGCTAGCGGCTGCTTCCCCTCCTCTTCTGTCTTCTTCTTCGGAAGATATCTCATGGTTTGGTACAGTCCCACCCTGGTTCCTTGGAAGACTCATCCATGGTTGCTCAGGGAACATTTCTCTTCTTCTGACCTAAAAATTCTGTAACTAAACAATGTATTTGCTTTGTAGGATTTTCTAGAGCGCCTCATTAGCAAAGGCAGAACTTGGCAGAAGACCAAAGGGTTCCTTCCGATCTCTCAGAGACTTCCTGAGAGCACAGATGGATGAGCAAGACCCAGCTGGCCCTGAAGCAGGAAGAGGCCATGCCAACCAAACTGGGAGCAGTGGGGGATTCTGGGAAAACTCTGGGCAGATGGGTGAGGAGGACACCCTCCGCTCAGAGGTGCAGAGCCAGCAGTTGAGGCAGCTCTGCTGCCAGGAGGCCAAAGGACCCCGAGAGGTTTGCAGCCAACTCTACCACCTTGACCATCAGTGGCTGAAGCCAGAAAGGCACACGAAAGCTGAGATGCTGGACCTGGTGATCTTGGAACAGTTCCTGGCTGTCCTTCCCCTGGAGATGGAGAGCTGGGTGAGGGAGTGTGGAGCGGAGACCAGTTCCCAGGCGGTGGCCCTGGCCGAAGGTTTCCTCCTGAGTCAGGCAGAGGAGAGAAAGCAGAAACAGAGAAAGCAGGTGAGAGAGACTTTGCTCTGGATACTCCCAAGGGGCTCCAAACACGATGGAGAACATCTCATATAGCTCTATTGATGGCCCATCCTTTTTCTTGGAAGACATCCATAGAATGAGTTCTAACACTCTTTAAGTCTTTGTCATTCTCTTTCTAACATTTCTCACCATTCATTCTCTGTTTTGAATTCTTGTTGCTCTTTCAGGAAATGGATCATTTTGCAGAAATGGACCTGGATTCCTGTGAGGCAGAGAGGCCTCCGTTGGACACCAGAGAGAGGCCACTGGGTAAGGAGGAAGGTGGCTTTTCTCCGTTTGGTCTCATTCTGTTGGTTTTCCAACTAATCTGTGAGTTCTTTTTTGGGGGGGAGGTGGACTGTTGGGGTCAAGGGTCCAGAGGAGGGGAGGTGTATTTTTATACAACTAACATATGAAATGGGCACAAACGTCCAAATGCACTCAGCAGGAAAGGCTTTCTCAAAGGCCCATCTGTAGTTAGAGATGCCCCGTTTCACCTGTGAGAGAAGCAGGCACTCCTGGCATCCTGATTACCGTTTTTCTCTTGCAGGTGACAGAATGATGCCGGCAAGACCTCCTGATCCGTCTTTTCATGGGGGCAGAAGGGAAGCAGCGGCTGTGGAACCAGATCAGGTCAGGGGAAGCTGCCTTGTGGGGACAGAGGCCGAGGGATGGAGCAATGTCATGGACTGGTTGGGCACAGAGGAATGGTGGGAGGAAGCAGCTGGGGAACCAGGAAGGGAAGACCTTTCAGAGCCCAAGGAGTGGAGGTGGAAGACGGATGGGTGGTCAGAGGGAGAAGTCTGGGAAGAGGAGGTGTCAGAAGCTGAAGAGGTAACAGGGCTTAGTGAGCTGGGAGACTCTGTGGCAGAATGCAGTCCAGAATCATAGGCAGAAGAGGAAGGAGGTGAGTGGGAGGAGGAAGGTCGAGAAGCTGAGGTGAGTCAGGAGAAGGAGGAGCCACCGGGGGCTCCCTCTCCTTCTGCCAGAAGCCACCCTCCCTGCTTGTCTCTCAGAGCCAAGAGAGGTCTAACATGGAGGAGCAAAGGCAGGCTGCACACTGGCGCACTGTTCAATCGCTTGCCAGAAACCCCAGAGAGGAGGGGACTTGGAAAGCTGTGGGGAGCTGGGGGCCTTCACTCTCTTCAAACTTTGCACTATATAATCTCACTTTTCATATATCTTCCCCCTAAAGAAACTTCCACCTAGACAACTAGTCCATTAATTGATTGAGAGTGCAAACTGACAGATCCTCAGGGAATCAGGTGCTATTCTCCTTAGGCCTGAAGCTCAGCCAAGACTGTGAATATTGTGTTCTTGCTGATAAAGAGTTAACTCCAGCTGTGAACTGTGGTACTCGTACTGTCACTATCTCTGTTTTCATTCTTTCTTGATCCCTTTTAATCTCTCAGTTCTCTTCTTTCTTTCTCTTAGCTGTCTCCTCCAAAGCTTGGACTGGTTTTTCCAAACCATTAGTTTTACTGGATAGTGTTTTGATTTCTGTTGTCAATATGTCCATTTTTTTGGTGTTACAGTATGAGAAACACACGATGGAATACTACCTATTTGCACAAAGATGAAAACCCATAATTAAAATGCAGAATAAAAGAATTCCATTAAAACATTAAAATAGGGATCCATAATAAAAGTGTGCAGCAAAGCAATCCTATTGAAACAACACAGCAATTAACAGGAAGTAAATAACAGAGCATTGTGTAGCAGGTCATATTTCTGCTGTCTCAAAGGAGGACATTTCCCTTTTTCTTTTAGGGTCCAGTGTGCTTTGAAGATGTCGCTGTTCATTTCACGGACGAGGAGTGGGCGTTGCTGGATCCTGACCAGAGAGCTCTGCATAAGGACGTCATGGAGGAGAATCGTGGGATCGTGGCCTCTCTTGGTAAGGCTCCCTGTGGGATCTTAATATCTGACTGCAAATTTTAAAAATACCTCTGTGTGACGAACCTCGTATTTTCACAGAGCTCAACAGTGCCCCCTACAACACCTGGGAACCTAACACCCCCACAATAAACCTTGAACAGTAAATTACCTATTTTTCTGTGAGTCTTCCTCCAGTTCTGCCTTTTTATACCACAATTGGGCTGGTCTGAACTGCCCAGGCCATATTAAATGTCAGCTTCAGAGTTGTTAGGAAAGATAAGTAGCTTCTGTCAGTTTTTCTGTTTTTGTTTTTGCTGCTGTCGTTCTCTGATTGACCAAAGCGACTACTGACATTGGAGAATCTCAGGTATTAGTAGCAGTGATAATAGTAATTATTATTATTGTTACTACTATTATTATTATTATTATTTATACCCTGCCCATCTGGTTGGGTTTCCCCAGCCACTCTGGGTGGCTTCCAACACATATAAAAACATGAAATAACAAAATGTGATCCAAAAAGGAATAAAAGAAAAGAAACAGAAATATTGGTGGAGATAAGCTAAAAGGAAAAAGAGGTATTAAGAAACCCAGACAATGAAACAATCAAACAAAATATCAAACTGCTACAAGCCAAATTTGCTATGCTAATAAATCAAGAAGTGGAATGGAATATTAAATTATTAAAACATAGAAATTTCGAGTTTGCCAACAGACCAGGAAAACTACTGGCTTGGCAACTCAAGAAAAGGCAGTGATAGGATTATAAACAAACTGAAACTGGGAAACAAAATAATAGATGAATTGAATGAAATATGTAAATTTTTTGTAGGTTATTATAGAGAATTATACCAAAAAAAAAATGGAAAACCGGGGGGGGGGTGAAGAATTTTTAAAACATAATAACCTGCCAGTAATTCTGAGTGGGGGGGAAATCAAACACCAATTACAGCCATAGAAATCCAACAATACAAATGCGAAATCAGGGAAGTCACCCAGTCCAGATGGATTGTCAGCCTGCTATTATAAGTAGCTGGAAGAAGTCCTATCACAACCTTCAAAACATGTAATGAATGATATACTAGCCAAAGGGAAAACACCAGAGACATGGAAGGAAGCATTTATAACACTAATTCCCAAATGGGACAGATCTAACACTTATTTCAAACTACATACCAATTTCATTAATCAATAATGATTACAAACTTTTCGCATCCATCTTAGTGGAAAGATTAAAAAAGACCCTGAGAAAAATAATCCATGAAGACCATGTGGGCTTTCTCCCTGGATGACAAATAAACAGCAATATAAGAAATATTATCAATATATTGGAACACCTAGAAACCAGAAATGACAAACCAGCAGTTCTCATGTTAGTAGATGCAGAAAAGGCATTTGATAATATCTTGTGGAGCTTTATGAAAACACAAATTAACTTAATGGGATTTGGAGATACTTTCTGCAGAGGAATAGAGGCAATCTATTTGAAGCAGAGAGCAAAACTTATTATAAACAGCAACATCACAGATAGCTGTAACATAATGAAGGGGACCAGGGAAGGGTGCCTTCTGTCCCCACTGCTATTTATCTTAGTATTGGAAATCTTGAACCGAAAAATAAGAGATGAGAGGATAAAAGGTATAGTACAGGGAAAATATTACAAATTAAAAGCCTTAGCGGATGACCTAATAATAACAACAGAGAACATGAAATAAAGCCTAATGAAGAACATTACAACTGATAAAAGAATTTGGACAGGTGGCAGGATTCAGTTCTTCCTCTACCACAAATTTAATTAGCATTATTCCATAATTGGGGGCTCCATTTCTTCCTGAGGCTCTAATCCCTATTTGTCTCCATTTCAGATTCTGAAGAATTTGAAATCACGGATGACCATGACAAAATCTGCAGAGTGGAGAAGTCACGTAAAAATGTGGTGTGTGGAGGGAGCTGCAGTCAGAGCTCCCGTTCCACTTCCCAGCAAAGAATTCTCATTGGAAAGAAACCCTATCAGTGCATGGAATGTGGAAAGAGCTTCACGGATAGCTACCACCTGACTTCCCATCAAAGAATTCACACAAGGGAGAAACCCTATCAGTGCGTGGAATGTGGAAAGTGCTTCAGGGACAGCTCCAAACTCACTTCCCATCAGAGAATTCATACAGGGGAGAAACCATATCAGTGCAAGGAATGTGGAAAGAGCTTTAGTCAGAGCTTCTGTCTCACTTCCCATCAGAGAATTCATACAGGAGAAAAACCCTATCAGTGCTTGGAATGTGGAAAAAGCTTCAGTCACAGATACTCTCTCACTTCTCATCAAAGATTTCATACAGGAGAGAAACCCTATCAGTGTGTGGAATGTGGAAAGAGTTTCACTACCAGCTCCTATCTCACATCCCATCAGAAAATTCATACGGGAGAGAAACCCGATCAGTGTGTGGAATGTGGAAAGAGCTTCCGTGACAAGCGCTCGCTCTCTCCTCATCAACGAATTCATGCAAGGGAGAAAACTTATCAGTGTGTGGAATGTGGAAAGAGCTTCAGTACGAGCTCCCATCTCACAGACCATCAAAGAATTCATACAGGAGAGAAACCTTATCAGTGCATGGAATGTGGGAAAAGCTTCAGTAGGAGCTCCCATCTCACTTCCCATCACAGAATTCATTCAGGAGAGAAACCTTATCAGTGCATGGAATGTGGAAAGAGCTTCAGTATGAGCTCTTCTCTCAGTTCCCATCAAAGAATTCATACGGGGGAGAAACCCTATCAGTGCATGGAGTGCGGAAAGAGCTTCAATACAATCTCCTATCTCAAAACCCATCAGCGAATTCATACAGGGGAGAAACCCTATCAGTGCGTGGAATGTGGAAAGAGCTTCCGTCGGAGTACCGATCTCAGTTTCCATCAAAGAATTCATACAGGGGAGAAACCCTATCAATGCATGGAATGTGGAAAGAGCTTCAGTAAGAGCTCCCATCTCAATACCCATCAAAGAATTCACAGAGGGGAGAAACCATATCAGTGTGTGGAATGTGGAAAGAACTTCAGTCAGAGTGCCCATCTCACTTCTCATAAAAGAATTCATACAGGGGAGAAGCCCTATCAATGCATGGAATGTGGAAAGAGCTTCAGTATGGGCTCCCGTCTCAATAACCATCAACGAATTCATACAGGAGAGAAACCATATCAATGCATGGAATGTGGAAAAAGCTTCTGTCAGAAGGCGAAGCTCACTTTTCATACAAATACTCACAGAATCGTGAATCACAGAGTCACAGAATCATAGAATTGAGGAGTTGGAAGTGATCCCTGGTATCATCTAGTCCACCCCATGCAAAGCAGGAATCGCAACTAAAGCATCCATGACAGGTGACCATCCAACTTCATAAAACCTCAAAGGATGGAGATTCCAGCATCTTCCAAGGGATTTCATTCCACTAACAGCTCTTGCTGTCAAAAACTTCTTCCTGATGTGTACTGTGAATCGCAGTTCTGTTCACTTGAAGCCATTGGTTCGTGTCCTACCCTTTGGAGCAGGAATAAACAAGCTTGCTCCATCTTCTATTTTTTTATTATTATTTATTTTGGGTATATATTCTATTTATTTCCTTTACTGACAATATCCCACATCAACAAAGCATAAACGAAAACAATACAGCAAAGAAGGATCTTTCCTTTCAAACATTTTAAATAAGTGACAAAAAATCAGAAATCTCTTTTCCTGGTTCCTTTTAACTCTTGATTTGTTCATTCCAATGCTCTGGAATGCCTCTCAGATGTAGCATTGTGTCATTTTTTTTTAATTCCAGAAGTGCAATATTATTTACTGTATCCTTCTGAGTTTCTCTTACTGTGGCTAGCTCTGTTTTCATTCTATCTTGATCCCTTTTTATCTCTTAATTCTCTTCTTTCTTTCTCTTAACTGTCTCCTCCAAAGCTTGGACTGGTTTTTCCAAACCATTAATTTTACTGGATAGTGTTTTGATTTCTGTTGTCAATTTGTCCATATTTTTGGTGTTAGGGTTAGGGAAACATGGAAGGTGCCTAAAGAAGCCTGGGTGGCTATCTAAAGAACTTTTAACTGAGTTAAGATTAAAAAAGGATGTGTACAAAAAATAGAAAAGGGGGGAAACCACCAAAGAGGAATTCAAACAAATAGCCAGCACGTGTAGACACAAAGTCAGAAAAGCTAAAGCACAGAATGAACTCAGGCTTGCTAGAGAGGTTAAAAGCAACAAAAAAGGCTTTTATGGGTATGTTCGTAGCAAAAGGAAGAACAAAGAAACAGTGGGGTCACTCAGAGGAGAAGATGGTGAAATGCAAACAGGGGACACAGAAAGGGCTGAACTCCTCTTTGCCTCAGTCTTCTCCGATAAAGAAAACAATGCCCGACCTGAAGAATTTGGAGCAAATGATTCAGCAAAGGAAACACAGCCCAGAATAACTAAGGAGATAGTACAAGAATACTTGGCTAGTTTAGATGTATTCAAGTCTCCAGGGCCAGATGAACTGCATCCAAGAGTATTAAAAGAACTGGCAGATGTGATCTCAGAACCACTGGCAGTCATCTTTGAGAATTCCTGGAGAACAGGCGAAGTCCCGGCAGACTGGAGGAGGGCAAATGTTGTCCCTATTTTCAAAAAGGGGAAAAGAGAGGACCCAAATAATTACCGCCCGGTCAGTCTGACATCAATACCAGGGAAGATTCTGGAGCAGATCATTAAGCAGTCTGTGAGCACCTAGAAAGGAATGCTGTGATCACCAATAGTCAGCATGGATTTCTGAAAAATAAGTCGTGTCAGACTAACCTGATCTTGTTTTTTGACAGAATTACAAGCCTGGTAGATGAAGGGAACGCAGTGGATGTAGCCTACCTTGATTTCAGCAAGGCATTTGACAAGGTGCCCCATGATATTCTTGTAAAGAAGCTGGTAAAATGCGGTCTTGACTATGCTACCACTCAGTGGATTTGTAACTGGCTGACTGACCGAACCCAAAAGGCTCATCTTTGGAGGTCTTTAAGCAGAGGCTTGACAACCATATGTCAGGAGTGCTCTGATGGTGTTTCCTGCTTGGCAGGGGGTTGGACTTGGTGGCCCTTGTGGTCTCTTCCAATTCTATGATTCTATGATGTCTCTCCCACTGTTGTCTTCAGGAATATTATTTTCTTTTCTTTCTCCTGTAGTAACCTATGTTATCCATTTGAGAACCACAATATTGTTCTTTTTCCCTCCTTATCACAGTCTTTGAACTCTAATACTTTGAAGGAGCAAGGTTTCAATTCCATTAAGTGAGGCAGCTCATCCTCTATTAACATACAGTCTTTTTGTGTTTTTCCCCCCTATCTGTATAATTAAAGATTCACAGAAGACTCTGTGACTGCTTGCTTTCTCTCCCTCTGGCAATTTTGCATCCTCTCGACTGGATATATAGTTCTGGGTGGGTATTTAATTTTTAAATTGTAACAATTGTAACGATTTTGTTCTTCCTTCTCGTGTTTTCTCTCCTCCATGTCTTCGCAAGATGTTATGCTTTACCTTGGCTTTTTCTGCCAGATTTTTTGCACATGCTTCTTTTCCCAATTCTGGAGAGGACTTCCCTTTTTCTCTCCAGAACTTAGCCAAATTGGTTCTTCAATCTTTTCTTCTATTCTACCTTTTCTTTGGCTTTTCTCCTTTTTGGGAAAGCTTCCCACTCCAGCGAGGGTTACAAGACTTTTTGCCGTTGAGGCAATATGACCCAGTGCCGTGGCTCGACCTTCCGGCGCAGAGCTGCCACTTTGGGGGCGAGAATGGAGTTAGTTTCAGCAGGTCCTCTCCAGTCTCCGCAGCTTTCCCCAAGGAGGTTTGGGGACACAAAGCATCTGTGGAACCCCCCAGTCTCTAAACATGGCAACGGCACACCCTGAAGAAAGTCACTGGCTCCTTCTTCCCCTTCATGGCAAACGAAGTCTGTATATTGTGTTTTTATATTGTGCTTGTATGTTGTAACCGCCCTGAGACTTGTGGGTATAGAGCGGTATACAAATTCAATCATTCAATCAATCAATCAATGACAAACTGGGAGGGGCAGCTAATGTCACAAAAGCCAGAATTGGGACTCAAGATGCCATTAACACAGGAGTAGGCAACCTAAGGCCCGGGGGCCGGATCCGGCCCAACAGCCTTCTCAATCCAGCCCGCGGATGGTCCGGGAATCAGTGTGTTTTTACATGAGTAGAATGTGTCCTTTTATTTAAAATGCATCTCTGGGTTATTTGTGGAGCCTGCCTGGTGTTTTTACATGAGTAGAGTGTGTGCTTTTATTTTAAATGCACCCCTGGGTTATATGTGGGGCGCAGGAATTCATTCATTATTTTTTTCAACATATAGTCCGGCCCCCCACATGGTCTGAGGGATAGTGGACCAGCCCGCGGCTGAAAAAGGTTGCTGACCCCTGCATTAACAGATTGGAGAACTGGGCCCAAGCTCAGAAAATGAATTTCAATAGGCAGAAAAGTGAAGTTTTGCACTTAGGAAGGACCAGATGCACCAATAGAAGACGGGGGTTTGATGGACAGCAGAGTCTGGGGATGCAGTGCCTGAGAATTCCACCAGAGGGCCAGAGCCTCTTTTTGATTGGCTACCCAGAGGGGGGTGGAGCCAGCACTTTTGGAGGGAACATAAAAGGAGCTGTTTCTGTGGGAATTTTTAGAAGGGGCTGGATTTGAGATGGGAGAACGGGATGGTTGAGAGAAGATAGGGATGAGAAGAGGGGTTGACGGAGGATCTAGACACATCAAAGAAGCACTTCAGTTAAAGGAGTTGTAAATTCAAACAGGGAAAACAGGTGGAGAAAAACGGGACTCCACAGTGCCATCCAGTGCCACAATATTATATTGCATATACAATGCTTATCAGTCGCCTTTTTCTTTACCAATCTAGCTGAGTTTGCATGGAAGAATTTGGGTGGGGAGTCAGGACCTTGGCCCAAAAAGCAGGGTTTCTCCTAACCTATCCCATTTTCTGGGTGGGGGTGGGGTGGGGTGGGAGGTTAGCCACCCAGCTAGGTTTAGAGGACAGGGCCAAGGGGTATAGCCAAGCATTTGAATGCAGATGCACCCAAAGCCTTCAAAACGTGCACTTCCCTCCATTTAGCAACAGAGTTCCCCAGCTCAGAAATGTGTACTGGGGTCAAGCAGGCATCATCAACATTGTCTTTTACTTCAGTTCATAACATTTATACACTGCTTGATTTTAAAAGCAGAAACCACCACAAAAAAGATCAAAACCGGGGGATTTGCCCTGCCGGACTTAAAATTGTACTATGAATCAGCAGCGTTTTGCTGGTTGAAAGAGTGGATGCTCCTCGAGAATACAGACATCTTGGACTTAGAAGGTTTTAATAATACATTTGGTTGGCATGCATATCTATGGTATGACAAAATTAAGGTGCATAGGGCCTTTAAAAATCATATTGTCAGAAAAGCACTATATAATGTTTGGATAAGATACAAAGATCTGTTGGAAAACAAAACCCCTAGATGGTTGTCACCCTTAGAGGCTAAAGCGTTGAAAAAACTTAATATGGAAGCCGAATGGCCAAAGTATTGGGAAATTTTGGAACAAGATAAGTTGAAGTTACAGAGTCACGAGAAATTGAAAACCAAAGTACGAGATTGGCTCCATTATTATCAAATAATGGAGGTTTATAAACAAGACAGGAAAATTGGCTTCCAGGTGGAGAAATCAAAATTAGAAACTGAACTGTTAGAACCCAATACTAAGAATTTGTCAAGAATGTATAACTTGCTGCTGAAATGGAATACACAAGACGAAATAGTTAAATCAGCTATGATTAAGTGGGCACAGGACATTGGTCATAATATTATGTTTGCGGACTGGGAATGGTTGTGGAACACCGGTATAAAATTTACGGCATGTAATGCCTTAAAGGAGAATATTATGAAAATGATCTATAGGTGGTACATGACCCCAGTCAAGCTAGCAAAAATTTACCATTTGCCTGACAATAAGTGTTGGAAATGTAAAGAAACTGAAGGTACCTTTTATCACCTTTGGTGGACGTGCCCGAAGATTAAGGCTTTCTGGGAAATGATATATAATGAAATGAAAAAGGTACTTAAATGTACCTTCCCTAAGAAACCAGAGGCCTTTCTCTTGGGCATTGCCTGCCAACTGGTGTCAAAGAAAGAGAGAACATTTTTTATGTATGCTACAACAGCAGCAAGAATACTTATCGCAAAGTATTGGAAGACACAAGACCTACCCACTCTGGAAGAATGGCAGATGAAGGTGATGGACTATATGACATTGGCTGAAATGACTGGCAGAATCCGTGACCAGGGGAAAGAGACGGCGGAAGAAGATTGGAAGAAATTTAAAATCTATCTTAAGAAATATTATAAAATTGATGAATGTTAAAATGTTGAGGTTCTTTAGAAAGATAAGGAGATTACAGCGATAAAAGATTAAGTTAAAGAAAAGAACAATGAAGGAATATATTTGATAAGATTAAATTTAGGATTTGCTGAAATAATTTCGAAATTTTGGATGCAGAAAGGGGAGGTTTGGGGGAGTCCGAGAAGTGAGGTTTATGAAAAAAAGGATATGAAATTATACATGTTTGTTTGTCTTTTTATTTGTTTGTATTGTGTATAAAAAATTGTAAAACCAATAAATTTTTTTAAAAAAAAAAAAAAAAAACAAAAAAGATCAAAACCAGAATAGAGTCTTTAAGAACTGAACGGAGGTTGGCTGGCACATGGTGCATCAGGAGGAAGGAGGGTGAGTGCCTTGCACGAGTGCTAATCTTTTCACTAGCGTAATTTACTTGAATTACGACCCACTACTGTTTTGTGAGGGTCGCAGGTGGCGCTGTGGGTTAAACCACAGAGCCTAGGACTTGCCAACTAGAAGGTCAGCGGTTCGAATCCCCGCGACAGGGTGAGCTCCCGTTGCTCAGTCCCTGCTCCTGCCCACCTAGCAGTTCGAAAGCACGTCAAAGTTCAAGTAGATAAATAGGTACCACTCTGGCGGGAAGGTAAGCGGCGTTTATCTGTGTTGCTCTGGTTCGCCAGAAGCGGCTTAGTCATGCTGGCCATATGACCCAGAAGCTGTACGCCGGCTCCCTCGGCCAATAAAGCGAGATGAGCGCCGCAACCCCAGAGTCGTCCGCGACTGGACCTAATGGTCAGGGGTCCATTTACCTTTACTGTTTTATAAGAAGTCAAGTTTCCCTGCCCACAGAGAACCAGTTGGTTCCAAGAAGTAGAGGGGCAAAAAGAGTGGCAGTCCAGACCCCCCTGAATGGCAGGCTCATAAAAGGGAGAGTTGGTCAACAGGGCTAGTGAGAAGAGTTTGAAACCTTCTGTGGAAGAAGAGCAGCCCAGCTGCTCTTCCTGCCCTCTGCACAGACCCCTCTGCCCTGGGCTGCCCTGGCCCACATCTGCACAGAGGTGTAAGGAATGAATGAATGAATCTTTATTTGCGTCAGTCATCGGCCATAGCAATAAAACAATATGATTTACAAAGAATATGGATTTTAAAAGTCCATTATATAAAATACATTTTAGGGTTTTGTCAAAGCACGTCAAAGTGCAAGTAGATAAATAGGTACCGCTCCGGCAGAAAGGTAAACAGCATTTCTGTGTGCTGCTCTGGTTCAGCCAATAAAGCGAGATGAGCGTCGCAACCCCAGAGTCGGCCACGACTGGACCTAATGGTCAGGGGTCCCTTTACCTTTACGTTAGTGGATCTTATACTAATTGCCCCGGCTAAAAACCTTGCAACCTTTGCTGTCACCTGCTCATCTGGATCTGCCAAGAGAAAGGACACTATGACAGTGGTTGGGCAAATCGGAATGGACAATAAAAGAGGGGTGATAACCTCATTCCTCTTTATAAAAAGCGCAAGCCAAAAGGACATGTGCCAGCAGTTTGGTACTGCCATCTCCACAGGGACATAAGCATTTTCCATGGGGAATCTGCGGGAATCGTCCCTCAAGTCCAGCCAAGGGCAATACATTCAATCTTGCGAGAGTAAAAGCGTGTCTATATTTTAGAATCACTAAGTTATGCAGACAGGGTGCCAGAGAGTCGAAATGGGTGAGTGGAAAATAGTTGTACCATAGGCAAAATTTCCTTATTGTGGTCAAGTTGTTCTGGACTAGGAAGTGTAAGGAACTGAAAGGCAGCTAAAAACCCACAGCAATATTTACTGGGGTGGATGTGGGGCCTCCAGTCCCAGGAGAGGCAGTCTTCCTGCTCCCCCCTCAGCTGAGACCTGCCTGGATGGAGACCTGAGAGCCATCTCTCAATATCTGGAGGGCTGGCCCATGGAAGAGGGAGCCAGCTTCTTTTCTCCTGCTCTAGAGGGGAGGGAGCACCCAGAAGAAGGGACCCAGAGGACCAGAAAGCAGTTTCTTCTGACGGGAAGAGCAGCAGAATCCCTTGGGAGATGGCGGACTCTCCTTCCTTGGAGGTTTTTAAGCAGAGGTTGGATGCTTTGGCTGAGATTCCTGCCTTGCAGGGGGGCTGGAATAGATGACCCTTAGGGCTCCCTCCCATTCTAGGATGAGGTTCCTTGCTTCCTGCAAACCCCTTTTCCCTGCAACCTCTTCCTCCAGTTTCTGGCCAAGGGAGGGAGCGGATCACAGACCAACCAAGAGCGTCCCCTCAAAATGAGCATCTCTGGGATTCTGCAATGCAGGAGAGAAAAGGCAGAGAGGACTGAGCAGGGTGGACTCGGCTTTGCAAGGGTTAAAGGGAACTGAGCTGCATTCCTAGAGGGGACAGGATGTAAAGGGGGGGCCAGGTCCTCCAGAGGAAAAGCCCTTCCCTCCCCTTCCTGCAAGGGGGGGTTGCTTTCCTCTGCTGCAAATGCTGCCTTGCTCTCTTCCACGGGGATCTGGTGAGTCTCCTCTCCCCCCCCCCAGGGTGCTGTGGGGAGAAAGGGGGGGTCCCAGGGCTGCCCAAGGGGAGGGTGGCTCATGGGGGGAGGGCAGACCCCGGGAGCAGCGGGTCCTGCCAGGGAGGGACGGGGATGCGCGAGGTTTGCAACTACAGTACTCTCTATATTCTGCATTTGTATAAAGACGCTGCTTACTGCTTTGGGAAGGGCAATCCTCTCCTGGGATCTGGTGAGTCTCCTCTCTCCCCCCCAGAGGGTGCAGTGGGGAGAAGGGGGGGTCCCAGGGCTGCAGCAGGGGAAGATGCCTGGGGGACCCTGATCTGCTGATGCACAGAAAAGCAGAGACTTCAGTGAGGGAGGGGCGAGGTCACACGCAGTCTGCAACTACTGTACTGTATGTTCTGCATTTGTAGAAATGTGCTGCTTGCTCCTTTGAGGAGGTGTCTGTGGGTCAGGGGAAAAGGGGCACGCAAATAAACTCCCTTCAGATTTAGGAATCAGCCACATCTGTTAGCATAGGCTGCAGCCAGACAGAAAGGTTTGGACAATAGATAAAGGCTAGAAATGGAAATCAACAACTTATGCAATAAATCAAGAAATCCTTTTGGAAGATGGAGGTGCCGAGTTGAACTGTGGAACTCCCTCCCACAGGAGCCAGGGAGGGCCACCAACCCGGGTGGCTTGAAAGAGGATGGGGCCAGTTCATGGAGGAGGAGAGGGCGGTGGGGGCTCCTGAATCCCCCAGGAGGAGAGCTTGGCTCTTTGTGCTCCAGTCCTGCAGGGGCGAAAGGCAGGAGAGGCACCAGGCTGCCCTGTGGTCAGAGGAGGCTGGACGCAAGAGGGACCCTCTGGCCTCATCCTGGCTGGCACACTTGCGCTCATTCAGACATGCAAGCCCCCAGAGGATCTTTGGAGACTGAACACAAAGCCCTGCTGAGAATCAAGGAAGGTCTTGTCAGGAGTTTCATTCTCTCCTGTGCTGCAGAGTGAGTGTGATTACTAGATCACATGCTCTGTTTGTTGACATTCCATTCTTTGGAAGCCTGGGAAGGGAAGGAACTGCGCACCACTTCTGTCTTCTTTGTTCTGGTTTTTTTTTTTTTTTTGGTTCTCTCTCGGAGGAGAAGAGACACGCTATAATGGCTCTGTTCTTTATTTCGACATTCAGCATCCCACAGTCAAACACATAGTCAAGAGCCCTTGTGGATGTGCTTGGGGTAAATAGGAGTAATAGTCATTTTTCCTCTTAAGTGGTGAATGAAACAGGATAACATGCTCGTCTGTTGAGGAACCTGGGAGAATGCAAGTAGAATGCAATGATTTTTGTTTGAATTCAAATTTAGATCAACCAGATTGTGCCAAATGATAATGGGGAGTGTGTGTGTGTGTGTGTCTGCGTGGGCCTTTATTCTCACCCCACATGAGCCTTAAGGGAACATGTTGGATCCAGGAGTACCCCAAGAACACTAAGAAAAAGGGACCCCACCCCAGTAACCCCCCCTCTCCCGTCTCCAGTTGCCTGCAGATTTGTCATGGTAATTTCCTGGGCAGAGTCAGGGCTGTGGTACAGTCCTACCTACACTGGTTGCTAGCAAGTCCCATACAAACTTGCTTAGGGAACCATTTTTCTTCTTCTTATGGTATATCAGCATTATAACAGAACAATGTATTTGCTTTGTAGGATTTGCACAGGATTTGGCACAGACAGAACTTGGCAGAAGACCACAGGGTTCCTTCCCATCTCTCAGAGGCTTCCTGAGAGCACAGATGGATGAGCGAGACTCAGCTGGCCTTGAAGCAGGAAGAGGCCATGCCAATCAAACTGGGAGCAGTGTGGGATTCTGGGAAAACTCTGTGCAGAAGATCCTGGGTGAGGAGGACACTCTCCGCTCAGAGGTGCAGAGCCAGCAGTTGAGGCAGTTCTGCTGCCAGGAGGCCAAAGGACCCCGAGAGGTTTGCAGCCGACTCTACCACCTTGACCGTCAGTGGCTGAAGCCAGAAAGGCACACGAAAGCTGAGATGCTGGACCTGGTGATCTTGGAGCAGTTCCTGGCTGTCCTTCCCCCGGAGATGGAGAGCTGGGTGAGGGAGTGTGGAGCGGAGACCAGTTCCCAGGCGGTGGCCCTGGCTGAAGGTTTCCTCCTGAGTCAGGCAGAGGAGAGAAAGCAGGTGAGAGAGACTTTCCTCTGGATACTCCCAAGGGGCTCCAAACAGGACGGAGAACATCCCATAATGGTCTGCTGATGGCCCTTCCTTTTCCTAGAAAGGCATCTGTGGAATATGATTTCACACCCTTACAGTTTTTGTCTTTGTAATTCCCTTTTTAATATTTCTCACCTTTCTCTGTTTTGAATCCTTTCTTTTTCAGGAAAAGGATCTCTTTGCAGAAATGGACCTGGATTCCTGTGAGGCAGAGAGGCCTCCGTTGGACACCAGAGAGAGGCCACTGGGTAAGGAGGAAGGTGGCTTATCTGCATTTGTTCTCATTCTGTTGGTTTCCCAACTAATCTGTGGGTTCTTTTCATCTTGTTTTGGGGGGACTGTTGGGAACAAGGGTCCAAAGGAAGGAAGAAGTACTTTTGCACAACTAACATATGAAATGGGCACAAACGTCCAAATGCACTCAGCAGGAAAGGCTTTCTGGAAGGCCCCTCTGTAGTTAAAAGGTAAAGGTAAAGGTGCCCCTGCCCGTACGGGCCAGTCATGTCCGACTCTGGGGTTGCGCGCCCATCTCGCTTAAGAGGCCAGTGCTGTCCGCAGACACTTCCGGGTCACGTGGCCAGCGTGACGAAGCTGCATCTGGCGAGCCAGCGCACCACACGGAAACGCCGTTTACCTTCCTGCCAGTAAGCGGTCCCTATTTATCTACTTGAACCTGGGGGTGCTTTCGAACTGCTAGGTTGGCAGGCGCTGGGACTGAGCAACGGGAGCGCACCCCGCCGCGGGGATTCGAACCGCCGACCTAACAATCGGCAAGTCCTAGGCGCTGATGTTTTACCCACAGCGCCACCCGCGTCCCTCCATCTGTAGTTAGAGATGCCCTATTTCACCTGTGAGAAAAGCAGGCACTCCTGGCATCCTGCTTACCTTTTTTATCTTACAGATGACACAGTGATGCTGGCTAGATCTCTTCATTCATCCTTTCATGATGGCAGAAGGGAAGCAGCGGCTGTGGAACCAGATCAGGTCAGGGGAAACTGCCTTGTGGGGACAGAGGCCGAGGGATGAAGCAATGTCATAGCTCAATGAGTAGTGGTGAACAACACTGTTGTCTCAGAGTAGGACATTTCAATTTTTCTTTCAGGGTCCAGTGTGCTTTGAAGATGTTGTTGTTCGTTTCACGGATAAGGAGTGGGAGTTGCTGGATCCTGACCAGAGAGCTCTGCATAAGGACGTCATGGAGAAGAATCGTGGGATCGTGGCCTCTCTTGGTAAGGCTCCTCGTGGGATCATAATATCTGTTTTTAAATTCAAAACAGCTCTCTGTGACGAACCTCATATATTTTCATAGAATTAAACAGCGCCCCTTAAATCACCTGGGATTACAATATTCCCCCAATAAACCTTGAATTGTGAATTATTCTTTTCACCGTGAATCTTCTTCCTCCAGTTGCAGCTGCTTAAACAATTATCAGACCAGTCTGAATTGCCCAGGCAATTTTAAATGTAAACCTCTGAGTTGTTAGGGAAGTTGTAGTAGCTCCTGTCAGGTTTTCTGTTTTTGTTTTGCTCCTGTCAGTCTTTGGTTGACCAAAGAGAAGGCTGATATTGGAGATGGAGGGGATTCCATGATGGAGCCAAACAAAATCCATTCAAAAGAAGAGCCAGGCTTATCTGAATCACAGGTTCACCTAAGGATATCAGTTGAGACTTCCAGTTTGCCATAAAAATGGCAATAAGGCAAGAGTCCGGTTCCTAGGAATGGACTCGGATCACCCCGGGGGGTCGGCGGAAAGCAAGAAAGTGAGCCCCCCAAAAGCTCAAAAGGGTTTCTTGAGCCCCAAAAGCGTCCAGCAATGGTGGGTAGTAATGTTTATCAATTGACAGCATTTGCAGATGCCCTTGTAATAACTGTGGAAGACCCTAGGGAAGGTATTGGCAACCTAAGACCCATGGGCCACAAGCGGCCCACAAGGGTTTTTAACCATTCCACAAGCCGCCCCGGAACCGAGCCACCCACTTGGCGAGTCCTCACACGCTGTGCTAAAACGGCGCAGTGTGGCGCGGGGACTTGCTTCCTCGGCACCGGAAATCGTGTCTGCGCCCACGGAGGGACCTCTGCTGGATTGAACCGCCCAGGAAAGGTTAATCTTGCTGACCCCTGCCCTGGGGTTAGTACACTGAGGGTCTTAAATTAGATTTATGAGTCTGCGCAAATAGCAGGTTTCAAATTGAACAAGGGTAAAATGAATATGTTGGTGAAAAATATGCTGGAACAACATAAAAACGAATTAAACCAATTATGGAACTGACAATAAATAAAAAGGTCAAATATTTAGGGGTTTCATTAACAAAATCTATAAATCTCTTTAAGGATAACTATACAACTACCTAGAGAGAAATAAAGACAAACTTAGAGTCTTGGGGAATGATATCTGTGATAAAAATGAATGTAGTGCCTAGAATTTTATTTTTATTCCAAACAATTTCAGTGGTTAGTAGAACAGGACATTTCAAAGAATGGCAGAAAGATATTTCAGGATTTATCTGGGAAGGGGAGGAGCCAAGAATGAAATGTAAGATGTTAATAGATTCCAAAGACAGAGGTGGCTTCTCCCTACCAGGTTTAAAGTTGTATTATGAGGCATCCAGTATTTGCTGGCTACAGGAGTGGAATATTTTTTAAAAACCAACCCCAGATCTTTTAGCTATGGAAGGACATGATGATAGATTTGGTTGGCATGCATATCTATTGTATGAGAAAGTGAAGGTACACAGAGGATTCCTGAAACACGTGGTAAGAAAGTCAATAAATGAGGTATGGGAGATATATAAAACTTTTTTAGAAGAGAAAACGCCGTGGTGGATCTCCCTGCTAGAAGTGATATCATGAAGAAACTAAATATGAGAAAGAATTGGGTAACATATAGGGAGTTATTAATGGAAGTGGAACAGCAACTACAATTTAACAAGTTTGAAGATATAAGAGACCTTCTAACAGATTGGTTACAGTATCACCAGTTAAATGAGGTTTTTAAAATAGATAAGAGAAAGGGTTTTGCAAATGAAATATTGAGGTTTGAGAAGGAATTGTTGGAAAACAACGTAAAACTACTTTCACAATATATTTTTTTTTAAAAAATTTTAATGCAATTTTGCTGAATAAAAAAATCCTCTTAATACTGCCTTACTGGTGTCCCAAACTATTTTGCTGTCCATTCCTTTATTTAGGTTGAGTTCAAAAAATTATTTTAGCGTCAGTTTGGCCTTTTGCAGGATCTTATCATCGATTAATAGATTCTCATTTAGTCTCCATCTCATTGGTAGTTTTCCCTCTTTCTTTAACCAAACTGAGACTGCATTATGATCCAAAATAGTTTTAGGTTTTATTTCAGCTTTGCTAACTCTCAGTGTTAATTCCTTAGTTATCCAAATGGCATTTATCCTTCCCGCTGAGTTATTGGGTCTGAAATATGGGTATATTCTCTTTTAGTGGGGTGTTTTGTTCTCCATGCATTGTAAATGTTTATAGTTTCTGTCATTCAAAAGAAGAAAAGTAGTTTTGATTGTTTGTTTTCTGCTTTTCTCTTTGTTCTATCCAATTCTGGGAAGGCACTCCATTTAAATCACCTAGGAAAATTATCTTTTCTCCCACATATTCTGCTGTTGTTTCCTCAAGTAATTGGTGAAGTTCCCTTTTTTTAAATTTGGGGCGTAGATACCAATAATTATGAATTTTTCTCCTTGGGCCAAAATCTCGATGACTATCCTTCCTTCTGGATTTTAAAATAACAGCATGAGCTGTGGTTTAGCATAAATCACTATGCCCCCTTTTTGTTTTTTATCTGAGGAAACAAATTCTAGACCTAATTTCTTATTAGAGAGAACTCTCCTGTGCTTCTGTATGACATGAGGTTCTTGCAAACATATCAAATCTAGTTTTTGCTTATTTAAAGCATGCTCCACCTTAATTCTTTTTGCCTTGTCATTTAGTCCATTCATGTTCCATATTAGAATTTTTAAATCCATTGGGAGCTCGAAGGCTGTTCGTCCAGAGGCAAGCAGCAGCCATCCGGAAGTCCCATAACTCCATGTAAATTAGAAAAAATGTATGGAACAGGTTTTAACATTTGCTAGAAATGTAAAGAGAAAGAAGGCAACTTTTATCATATGTAGTGGAATTGTAAAATAATGAAAGAGTTCTGGGAAATGATATATAATGAACTAAAAAACAGTTTAAAATGGCATTTGTTTAAAAACACAGAATCTTTATTATTAGGAATTATAGGTGCAGAAAAACCGAAGGTGCAGAAAAAACATTTTATGCATGCAATGAAAGCCATGTGAATGATTGTGGCCCAGAGATGGTAATATGATAAGGTCCCTACAAGAGAGGAATGACAAACTAAATGGATGGACTATGCTGAGATACAAGAATGACTGGGAAAATCTGAAACCACGAAGACCAAGATTTCATTAAAGAATGGGGGAAATTCACATTGTATTTGGAAAAACACTGTAAACAATTGAAATCTTTACAAGGACTTAAATAACACTGGTAATGTAACAAGGACTTGAGATACTATGGAAAAATGAAATAATACAGAAAGATAAAATATGCAGAAGAAAAGGATAAATATTTACCCAGGGAGGGGTGGTGGGAAGTCCAAGAGTTCAAGAGAATCCTGTATTTCTTATTATTTCTATTTGATTGTCTATGTAAACATTTAATTGAAAATCCAATTTAAAAAATTATTATATAAAGGATGTTAGTTGATCCCTGCTAATATATGCATCCAACCCTGTAGTAAAAACCATTCATCTAACCCATGTGTTATTCTTCTATTACCAATGTTAACAAGTATTCTTCATGAATTGTGGGCTCTTTTTCTCCAATACGCACTAATCAATTTATCTCTTCATTGCAGATGAACTGGAAATCAAGACCAAGGGTGACCAGGACATAATCCCCACAATGGGGAAGCCTTATAAATATCTTGAAAGTGGAAAAAGTTTCCATCTCACTTCCCATCAAATAATTCATACAGGGGAGAAACCCTTTCAGTGTGTGGAATGTGGAAAGAGGCTTCAGTGCGAGCTCCTCTCTGAGTTCCCATCGGAGAATTCATACAGGAGAGAAACCCTATAAATGTGCGGAATGTGGAAAGAGCTTTCGTAAGAGCCACCATCTCATTTCTCATCAAAGATTCCATACAGGGGAAAAACCCTATCAGTGTGTGGAATGTGGAAAGAGCTTCAGTATGAGCTCGAATCTCACTTCCCATCAAATAATTCATACAGGGGAGAAACCATATCAGTGCGTAGACTGTGGGAAGAGCTTCAGTCACAACTCGTCTTTCACTTCCCATCAAAGAATTCATACAGGGGAGAAACCCTATCAGTGTGTGGAATGTGGAAAGAACTTCAGAAGGAGCTCCCACCTCACTGACCATCAAAGAATTCATACAGGGGAGAAACCCTTTCAGTGCATGGAATGTGGAAAGAGATTCTGTTGGAGGACCGATCTCAGTTCCCATCAAAGAATCCATACAGGGGATAAACCATACAATTGCTTGGAATGTGGAAAGAGCTTCAGTCACAATTCCTCTCTTACTTCCCATCAAAGAATTCATAGGGGGAAGAAACCCTATCAGTGCGTGGAATGTGGAAAGAGATTCTGTCGGAGCACCGATCTCACTTTACATCAAAGAATTCATACAGGGGAGAAACCCTATCAGTGCGTGGAATGTGGAAAGAGATTCTGTCGGAGCACCGATCTCACTTTACATCAAAGAATTCATACAGGGGAGAAACCCTATCAGTGTGTGGAATGTGGAAAAAACTTCAGTACAAGCTCCAATCTCACTTCCCATCAAAGAATTCATACAGGGGAGAAACCCTATCAGTGTGCGGAATGTGGAAAGAGCTTTAGTACAAACTCCGATCTCACTAAGCATCAGAGAATTCATACAGGGGATAAACCATACACTTGCTTGGAATGTGGAAAGAGCTTCAGTCACAACTCCTCTCTCACTTCCCATCAAAGAATTCATACAGGGGAGAAACCATATAATTGCTTGGAATGTGGAAAAAGCTTCAGTAAGAGCTCCAATCTCATGACCCATCAGAGAATTCACAGAGGGGATAAACCCTATCAGTGCGTGGAATGTGGAAAGAGCTTCATTACAAGCTTCTGTCTCACTTCCCATCAAAGAATTCATACAGGCGAGAAACCCTATCAGTGCGTGGAATGCGGAAAGAGCTTCAGCTGTAGCTCTGCTCTCAGTTGCCATCAGAGAATTCATACAGGGGAGAAACCCTATCAGTGTGTGGAATGTGGAAAGAGCTTCAGGAAGAGCTCTGACCTCACTTCCCATCAAAGAATTCATACAGGGGAGAAACCCTATAATTGTGTGGAATGTGGAAGGAACTTCAGTACGAGCTCCTATCTCGCTAAGCATCAGAGAATTCACAGAGGGGCAAAATCCTAGCAGTGCATGGAATGTGGAAATGCCTCAGTCACAGCCACAATGTCACTTCCCATCAAAGAATTCATATGGGAGAAACCATACAATTGCTTCAGCTATAGCTCCTCTCTCAGTTCTCATGAAAGGATTCATGCAAAGGGCAGATAAAAACATCCATGATACAGCTTTAGGCTTCATGGAAAAACAACACCTCTTTACCCAAGCCTTTGGCTGATTGACATCAAATGGCCTTTTAAAATGTGGTGTGTTGGGGGGGTTACGGTTTTTTTAATTTTTTGTTTTGTTTTTTATATTATGATTTAATTTTGAAACTGCCCTGAGGGTATAGGGCATAGGAGGCAACACTTAAAGGCTGAGAGGTCTTTGTTTCTGCCCAAAATATTTGAGGGGCCCCCCCCCAGTTGATAGGCATTGTCATTCAAATGGTGTGCATACACCACACCATGTGATTGATTATGCAAGGCGGGACTTACCTCTCCCCCAGTATTTTATTCAAGTTGGCACCCCTGGTATAAGATGGTATAGAAATTAAATAAATGCAATAATAAAATAATATCATCTTGGTCGTCTTCCTTTGCACATGTTCCAGCTTGTCAGTATCCTTCTTATTTATTACTATTTTTAAAATTGATGTGTCCTTCATCTGAAGATTTCACGATATAAACATACAGGATGAAAGCATGGCTTTCCCAAAAACAAGTCAAGCCAGAGAAATCTCTCCTCCCCTTTTTTTGGATAGAGTTACAAACTTTGTTGATCAGGGGAAAGCTGTGGAAATAGTGCATCTTGATTTCAGTAAAGCTTTGAATAAGGTTGAATAAGCCAATGTTTATTCAATACATAAATTGCTAATAATCCACCCAGCACTCATGGGAAAAGGTGGTGTAATATTTTAGAATAATTAAATGAAATTGTAACACATGGCAAGAATAAAGTGTGTAATTTCATCAGGACAAGTGATTTGTTGTTTAATGTTGTAACTATCTTCTGTACCATGAAAATAAATAAAAACAACTTTTTCAAAAAAGGAGGTGGAGAGCCATTAATCTGCTTGCATGTGTTGAGTGTTATTTGGACACTGTAAAAAGGTAAAGGTACCCCTGCCCGTACGGGCCAGTCGTGTCCGTCTCTAGGGTTGTGCGCCCATCTCACTTAAGAGGCCAGGGGCCAGCGCTGTCCGGAGACACTTCCGGGTCACGTGGCCAGCGTGACGAAGCTGCTCTGGCGAGCCAGCACCAGCGCAGCACACAGAAACGCAGTTTACCTTCCCGCTCTAAAGCGGTACCTATTTATCTACTTGCACTTAGGGGTGCTTTCGAACTGCTAGGTGGGCAGGAGCTGGGACCGAAAGATGGGAGCTCACCCCACCGCACGGATTCGAATCGCCGGCCATACGATCAGCAAGTCCTAGGCACGGAGGTTTTACCCACAGCGCCACCCGCGTCCCTATTTGGACACTGTAACACCCAGTAATTTCACATTATCTATGTGTTTCTGTGTGTTGAACACACATAATTGCAGGTGAGACTGAATAAAACACCTCCTAGGAAATTCCCCTTTACTGCTCTGTATTGTTTCAAATGTGACTTCATTTACAGACAAGAACAAATCATATTTATTGATGAAAAATCATACCATCATCAGCTCAATAATCTCAACCCCAACAAACCTGTAGGTAGAAATGACGATAATGAACAGGAAGATGGGAGATGAGAGCTGGAGGCCGCCAAGGCAAGGACAGGCTGCCAACAGGTCAGATAGCCTTGGAAGCGTTGTCCACAGATGGTGAGGAAGAGCCAGTCCAAGCTCTCGGTCCTTGATCTCAGTGTTGGGAACACCTCAAAGAAGAGCGGAAGGGGAAGGGTAAATATAAGAGATTCTGGCGTTGCCTTCTCAAAATTTATCTTCTGTACCATGACAATAAATAAAAACACTGTTGTCCACAGACGGTGAGGAAGAGCCCTTAGTCCTGCTCCTGAAAGCTTGGCAGATGTGGAGTATTTCCTCACACATTGCCATGACTGAAAAAACAATCTTAAAAAATTAAAATGGTATTACAGTGCTAAGAACGCAATTCCTGTAGTATTTGGCATCTTAGCAAGCCCAGTGCCACTCTGCCAACTGTCTCACTCCCAGCTACCTAATCTGGAAAGCTGCCCTGTCATCTCTGCAAGGACTTCAGTGTCCCTTGAATTAGCAGTTCAGCATTTCTGGAGTGGAAATGATATACCTTTGTATATTAGCATAAAAAACATGCATGAGAAAGTATTACTCATTTATGATGGGAATATGATTTAATCGGCTGTGCTGAGGACTGCAGGGCCTGCTCCCTTCCAAGGCTTTTTCCAACTGGCCTAGAGGGCAGGACCCAGGCCCTCACCCTCCCAGACTCCTGCTGCAGTGCCTAGAGGGTGGGGCTGGATTCATTGGAACAAACTCTTTGGGAATTGCAGGCGGGGGGGGGGTCTTCTACTATTGCTTCACTGTTTCAAGTGTCTAATGTGTTTTAAAATGTTCTTAAGCAGTCTGTGGCATTTTTAGTTTTTTATTCTCCCCCCCCCCCCTTTGCTTTGTTGAGGATGGGATGGACATCTAGTTGGGGGTTAATTTAAGTATAATTGTTGTTGCTGTTTTGTTTTTGCTTTTTATTGTTTTATTAGCTGTTGTATAGTTTGTGTTTTGTTTTAAGGTCTTCCTGGGAGTGGGCCCCAGCCAACAGAATGGCTGGGGCAGTTTCCACGGGGGTGGGGGGTGCACTGGCTCATCCGATCTCAGTGACCACGGGTAGGAGGAGGAGTTACGCTAAGGCCAGACCGCGTCATTACCAAGGAAGCAGATTTAGTTGCTGTTTGAGGACTATCCCTGCCTCCGGGTCTGGTGGATACTGGAAGGATACTGGAATCAGCAAGGGAGACCCACATCTTAAAGTGCTGCTGTGCAATGCCAGGTCAATGACTCACAAGACGGCTGTCATCCATGACTTAATTGTGGATGGAGGACTTGACCTGGCATGTGTAACAGAGACTTGGTTGGATGAAGCAGATGGGCCTGTCCTTGCCGCTGCTTTTCCACCAGGTTTCTCTTACGCACAGCAACCCAGGCCTTGTGGGCGGGGAGGGGGGGTTGCAGTGATTTTTAGGAAGTCATTAGTTTGCACCAGGCGTCCTATTGGGAAGACCCAGTTCTCTGAGTGCATGTTCTGGAAGTTGGGCAATAGGGGCAGTACAGGATTCCTATTGGTGTACCGACCTCCCCGCTGCACCAAGGATTCCCTGCCCGAGCTGCTTCAGGTCGTGGCGGATGTTCTCCTGGAGACACCTAGCTTGGTCGTCCTAGGGGGATTTTAACATCATGCCGACACAACCTTACAAGGGGCCGGCTCGGGACTTCGTGGAAAGCATGGCGCTCCATGGGGCTGTGCCTGAATAAGTTTGGCCCCAAATCATAGTCACGGACATGCCTTAGACCAAGTGTTCACCTCTGTGGATGTGAGGTGATGTGATGCTAAGTAAAAGTGAGACAAATGAAGTGCCATGGGTCAGATTTTGCTAATTAACAGGTGAAAGGAAAATGCCACGCTTTTGCATGAGAAGAACAAAGGAATGTTTATTGTCTTTGCTGGCCAGACAGACAGGCTTGGTGGATTCACATCCAAAAGGACTGAGAACCCTCCTGAAGAAGGGGCCTTCCTAATATACTTTTCCCTTATCTGTTTAAGGAACTATACATATGCATGGAGTACCTTGGCAATCATTTGGGGATAACACCCTACTAGTGAATCCATATAAGGAATCTGGTTAATTGCATATTAATTAAGCAAGCAAACAAAGGACTCTCTGGGCACCTTCACGCAGCATGTGGGGCCTCTTCTGTATTATGCATACACTCTGGTATGTGGTGAACAAGGAGTAAGTGTTGGGATACTGCCAGGGAGATAAAGTCCATCACGGCCCCAAGCCGTGTGCTGGACGATCCATCGATCTCTGGGTAGGCACGCAGTATCATCGATTAGCGACATGAGTTTCTAGAAGTTATCTTGCCACAATCTAGAGCTCATGCACACTCTATCAGCAGATAGTCACAGCAGAAGTTGCACTCAGTAGAGCATTATTTACAAGCTTTATTCAGCGTTGGTCAGAACAAAGAAAGACATGACTGCCTGCGTCAGTGTCCTGACAGAGAGAGAAAACGAAAGCAATAGGAAACATAAACATCCTGTGAACAGGACATGCGCAGACTCTGTGACTCACAAAGCCTGCTCCCTTTTAAGGTGGAACGGAAATATCCTAACAGTAAGGCCATTCCTGGTACCTTACGGACAGAATGTCTCCTGATACAATGGGGCAACTCTTTGGTGCAAGATTAGCTGCAGGTCTCTAATTGCCATGGTCAGATCACTTCCTGGTACAACTGGACTTCTCCGTGATGCTTCCCCTTTGCGGGGAGGTAGGACCAATATGGATGCTCCGCCCCGCCACTTAATGGATCCAAATGGGTTCCAGAGAGTGGTAGGGGATGCTTTATCCCATGTTGATGACCTTTTAGCTGATTCCTGGTGGCCCGCTGGAATGCGGAGTTAACCAGGGCTATCGACTGTCTAGCTCTGAAGCGCCTTCTCTGATTGCATGAAGCGCAGACAGCCCCGTGGTTTTCCCTGGAGCTGAGCACAATGAAACAATTGCTGAGATGGCTAGAGAGCCATTGGTGGAGAACTCATTTTGAATTGTACCAGACACGGGTTAGAGCTCAACGCCAAGCCTACCAAGTGGTGATAGTGATGGCAAAGCGGCCTTTCTTCACCGCCTCTATTGCATCTGCAGAAAACAGCAGGAGGAGACTCTTTCAGGTGGTTTGCAATTTAAATTTGGGGGCTAGATACTATCATTAAATTATGAATTTTTCTCCTTGCGCCAAAATCTCGATATGACTATCCTTCTCTCTGGATTTTAAATAACAGCATGAGCTGTGGATTTAGCATAAAAATCACTATGCCCCCTTTTTTGTTTTTTACTGAGGAAAACAAATTCTTAGACCTAAGTTTCTTATTAGACAGAAACTCTCCTGGCTTCTGTATGACATGAGGTTCTTGCAAACATATCAATCTAGTTTTGCTTATTTAAAGCATGCTCACCTTAATTCTTTTTCCTTCTTCATTTGTCCATTCACATGTTCCATAATTAGAATTTAAATCCATTGGGAGCTCGCAAGGCTGTTCGTCCAGAGGCAAGCAGCAGCCATCCGGAAGTCCCATAACTCCATGTAAATTAGAAAAAATGTATGGAACAGGTTTTTAACATTTGCTAGAAATGTAAAGAGAAAGAAGCAAACTTTCTATCAGTATGTAGTGGCATTGTAAAATAATGAAAGAGTTCTGGGAAACGATATATAATGAACTTAAAAACAGTTTAAAATGCATTTGTTTAAAAACCCAGAATCTTTATTATTAGGAATTATAGGTGCAGAAAAACCGAAGGTGCAGCAGAAAAAAACATTTTATGATGCAATGAAAGCCATGTGATGATTGTGGCCCAGAGATGTAAAGTTGATAAAGCCCTACAAGAGAGGAATGACAAACTAAATTGGATGGACTATGCTGAGATACCCAAGAATGACTGGGAAAATCTGAAACCACGCAAAGACCAAACGACCTTCATTTAAGAATGGGGGAAATTCACATTGTATTTGGAAAAAAAACACTGTAAGCAATTGAAATCTTTACAAGGACTTAAATAACACGTGGTGAATGTAACAAGGACTTGAGATACTATGGAAAAATGAAATTAATACAGAAGATAAATACTGCAGAAGAAAAGGATAAATATAGTTAACCAGGGAGGGGTGTGGGAAGTCCAAGAGTTCAAGATAATCTGTTTCTTCTTATTTCTATTTAAATTGTCTATTGTAAACATTTAATTGAAAATCCAATTAAAAAAATTATTATATGAAGATGTCAGTTGATCCCTGCTAATATATGCATCCAACCCTGTAGTAAAAAAACCATTCATCTAACCCATGTGTTATTTTTTCTATTACCAATGTTAACAAGTATTCTTCATGAATTGTTGGGCCTTTTTTCTCCAATACGCACTAATCTCAATTATCTCTCTTCATTGCAGATGAACTGGAATCAAGAACAAGGGGACCAGGACATAATCCCCACAATGGAGAAGCCTTTATAAATATCTTGAAAGTGGAAAACAAGTTTAATCTCACTTCCACTCAGAATTCAAAAAAGAAATCCCAACTGAAGAAACCCTATCAGTGCATGGAATGTGGAAAGAGCTTCAATAAGCTCACCATCTCTCACTTCATCAAATAATATCATACACGGGAGAAACCCCTATCAGTGTATGGAATGTGGAAAGAGCTTCATAGCAGTGTCCTCTTCTGATTCCCATCAGAGAATTCATACAGAGAAGAAACCTATAAATGTGCGGTGAATGTGGAAAGAAGCTTTCAGTAAGAGCCACCATTCTCACTTCTCATCAAAGATCATACAGGGGAAAAACCCTATCAGTGTGTGGAATGTGGAAAGACTTCAGTATGAGCTCGATCTCACTTCCCATCAAATATTCATACAGGGGAGAAACCATTATTCAGTGCGTAGACTGTGGAAAGAGCTTCAGTCACAAATCGTCTTCACTTCCCATCAAAGAATTCATACAGGGGAGAAAACCTATCAATGTGTGAATGTGGAAAGAACTTCAAAGGAGCTCCCATCTCTCACTGACCATCAAAGAATTCATACAGGGAGAACCCTTTCAGTGCATTGGAATGTGGAAAGAGATTCTGTTGGAGGACCGATCTCAGTTCCCATCAAAGAATATCCATACAGTGCGGATAAACCATACAAATGCTTGGAATGTGGAAGAGCTTCAGTCACAATTCCTCTCTTACTTCCCATCAAAGAATTCATAGGGGGAGAAACCCTATCAGTGGTGGAATGTGGAAAGAGATCTTGCGAGCACCGATCTCACTTTCATCAAAGAATTCATACAGGGGAGAAACCCTATCACGTGCGTGGAATGTGAAAGAGGATTCTGTCGAGCACCCGATCTCACTTACATCAAAGAATTCATACAGGGGAGAAACCCTATCAGTTGTGGAATGTGGAAAAAACTTCAGTACAAGCTCCAATCTCACTTCCCATCAAAGAATTCATACAGGGGAAAACCCTATCAGTGTGCGGAATGTGGAAAGAGTTAGTACAAACTCCGATCTCACTAAGCACAGAGAATCATAAGGGGATAAACCTATACACTTGCTTGGAATGTGGAAAGAGCTTCAGTCACAACTCTCCTCTCACTCTTCCCATCAAAGAATTCATACAGGGGAGAAACCATATAATTGCTGGAATGGAAAAGCTTCAGTAAGAGCTCTCCAATCTCATGACCCATCAAGAGATTTCACAGAGGGGAAACCCTATCAGTGCGTGGAATGTGGAAAGAGCTTCATTACAAGGTCTTCTGTCTCACTTCCATCAAAGAATTCATACAGGCGAGGAAAACCCATTCAGTGCGTGAATGCGGAAAAGAGCTTCAGCTGAGCTACTGCTCTCAGTTGTCCATCAGAGAATTCATACAGGGGAGAAACCCTATCAGTTGTGTGGAATGTGGAAAGAGCTTCAGAAGAGCTCTGACTCACTTCCCCATCAAAGAATTCATACAGGGGAGAAAACCCTATAATTGTGTGGATGTGGAAGGAACTTCAGTTCGAGCTCCTATCTCGCTAAGCATCAGAGAATTCACAAGAGGGGGCAAAATCCTAGCAGTCATGGAATTGTGGAAATGCCTCAGTCACAGCCCACAATGTCACTTCCCATCAAAGAATCATTATGGGGAGAAACCATACAATTGCTTCAGCTATAGCTCCTCTCTCAGTTCTCATGAAAGGATTCATGCAAAGGGCAGATAAAAACATCCATGATACAGCTTTAGGTTCATGGAAAAACAACACCTCTTTACCCAAGCCTTTGGCTGATTGACATCAAATGGCCTTTTAAAAATGTGGTGTTTGTTGGGGGTTACGGTTTTTTTAATTTTTTGTTTTGTTTTTTATTATTATGATTTAATTTTAAAACTGCCCTGAGGGTATTAGGGCATAGGAGGCAACACTTAAAGGCTGAGAGGTCTTTGTTTCTGCCAAAATATTTGAGGGCCCCCCCCCCGTTGATAGGCATTGTCATTCAAATGGTGTGCCATACACCACACCATGTGATTGATTATGCAAGGCGGGACTTACCTCTCCCCCCAGTATTTTATTCAAGTTGGCACCCTGGTATAAGATGTATAGAAATTATAAATGCAATAATAAAATAAATCATCTTGGTCGTCTTCCTTGCACATGTTCCAGCTTGTCAGTATCCTTCTTATTATTTTACTCATTTTAAATTTGATGTGTTCCTTCATCTGAAGATTTCACGATATAAACATACAGGATGAAAGCATGGCTTTCTCCAAAAACAAGGTCAAGCCAGAGAAAATCTCTCCTCCCTTTTTTGGATAGAGTTACAAACTTTGTTTGATCAGGGAAAGCTGTGGAAATAGTGCATCTTGATTCAGTAAAGCTTGAATAAGTTGAATAAGCCAATGTTTATTCAATACATAAATTGCTAAAATCACCCAGCATCATGGGAAAAGGTGGTGTAATATTTTGAAATAATCAAATGAAATTGTAACACATTGGCAAGAATAAAGTGTGTAATTTCATCAGGACAAGTTGATTTTGTTGTTTAATGTTTGTAACTATCTTCTGTACCATGAAAATAAATAAAAACAACTTTTTCAAAAAAGGAGGTGGAGAGCCATTAATCTGCTTGCATGTGTTGAGTGTTATTTGGACACTGTAAAAAAGGTAAGGTACCCCTGCCCGTACGGGCCAGTCGTGTTCCGTCTCTAGGTGTGTGCGCCCATTCTCACTTTAAGAGGCCAGGGCCAGCGCTTGTCCGGAGACACTTCGGGTCACGTGGCCAGCGTGACGAAGCTGCTCTGGCGAGCCAGCACCATGCGCAGCACACAGAAACGCAGTTACCTTCCCGCTCTAAAGCGGTACCTATTTACTCTACTTGCACTTAGGGGTGCTTTCGAACTTGCTAGGTGGGCAGAGCTGGGACCGAAAGATGGGAGCTCACCCCACCGCACGGATTCGAATCGCCGGCCATACGATCAGCAAGTCCTAGGCACGGAGTCTTTACCCACAGCGCCAACCCGCGTCCCTATTTGGGACACTGTAACACCCAGTAATTTCACATTATCTATGTGTTTCTGTGTGTTAACACACATAATTGCAGGTGAGACTGAATAAAAAACCTCCTAGGAAATTCCCCTTTACTGCTCTGTATTGTTTCAAATGTGACTTCATTTACAGACAAGAACAAATCATATTTATTGATGAAAAATCATACCATCATCAGCTCAATAATTCTCAACCCCAACAAACCTGTAGGTAGAAATGACATAATGAAAGGAAGATGGGAGATGAAGCTGGAGGCCGCCAAGGCAAGGGACAGGCTGCCAACAGGTCAGATAGCCTTGGAAGCGTTGTCCACAGATGGTGAGGAAGAGCCAGTCCAAGCTCTCGGTCCTTGATCTCAGTGTTGGGAACACCTCAAAGAAGAGCGGAAGGGGAAGGGTAAATATAGAGGATTCTCGCGTTGCTTCTCAAAATTTATCTTCTGCTACCATGACAATAAATAAAAACACTGTTGTCCACAGACGGTGAGCGAAAGCCCTTAGTCCTGCTCCTGAAAGCTTGGCAGATGTGGAGTATTTCCTCACACATTGCCATGACTGAAAAAAACAATCTTAAAAAATTAAAATGGTTATTACAGTGCTAAGAACGCAATTCCTGTATTATTGGCATCTTAGCAAGCCCAGTGCCACTCTGCCAACTGTCTCACTCCCAGCTACCTAATCTGGAAAGCTGCCCTGTCATCTCTGCAAGGACTTCAGTGTCCCTTGAATTTAGCAGTTCAGCATTCTGGAGTGGAAATGATATTACCTTTGTATATTAGCATAAAAAACATGCATTGAGAAAGTATTACTCATTTATGATGGGAATATGATTTAATCGGCTGTGCTGAGGACTGCAGGGCCTGCTCCCTTCCAAAGGCCTTTTCCAAACTGGCCTAGAGGGCAGGACCCAGGGCTCTGCATAAGGACGTCATGGAGAAGAGAATCGTGGATCGTGGCCTCTCTTGGTAAGGCTCCTCGTGGGATCATAATATCTGTTTTTAAATTCAAAACAGCTCTCTGTGACGAACCTCATATATTTTCATAGAATTCAACAGCGCCCTCTTAAATCACCTGGGATTACAATATTCCCACAATAAACCTTGAACTGTGAATTATTCTTTTCACCGTGAATGTTCTTCCTCCAGTTGCAGCTGCTTAAACAATTATCAGACCAGTCTGAATTGCCCAGGCAATTTTAAATGTAAACCTCTGAGTTGTTAGGGAAGTTGTAGTAGCTCCTGTCAGGTTTTCTGTTGTTGTTTTTTTGCTCCTGTCAGTCTTTGGTTGACCAAAAGAGAAGGCTGATTTTGGAAATGGAGGGGATTCCATGATGGAGCCAAACAAAATCCATTCAAGAGAAGAGCCAGGCTTATCTGAATCACAGGTTCATCTAAGGATATCAGTTGAGACTTCCAGTTTGCCATAAAAATGGCAATAGGGTGAGAGCCCAGTTCTTAGGAACTGACTCGGATCACCCCGGGGGGTCGGGGAAAAGCGAGAAGGTGAGCCCCCCAAAAGCTCAAATGATTTCTTGAGCCCCAAAAGCATCTAGCAATGGTGGGTAGTAATGTTTATCAATTGACAGCATTTGCAGATGCCCTTGTAATAACTGTCGAAGACCCATGGGAAGGTATTGGCAACCTAAGACCCATGGGCCACAAAGCCGCCCACAAGGGTTGTTTAACCATTCCACGAGCCGCCCCGGAACCGAGCCACCCACTTGGCGAGTCCCCACACGCTGTGCTAAAGCGGCGCAGTGTGGCACGGGGACTTGCTTCCACTGCGCCGGAAATCGTGTCTGCGCCCACGGAGGGATCTCTGCTGGATTGAACCGCCCAGGCAAGGTAAATCTTGCTGACCCCTGCCCTGGGGTTAGTACATTGAGGGTCTTAAATTAGATTTATGAGTCTGCGCAAATAGCAGGTTTCAAATTGAACAAGGGTAAAATGAATATGTTGGTGAAAAATATGCTGGAACAACATAAAAACGAATTAAACCAATTATGGAACTGACAATAAATAAAAAGGTCAAATATTTAGGAGTTTCATTAACAAAATCTATAAATCTCTTTAAGGATAACTATACAACTACCTAGAGAGAAATAAAGACAAACTTAAGAGTTTTGGGGAATGATATCTGTGATAAAAATGAATGTAGTGCCGAGAATTTTATTTTTGTTCCAAACAATTTCAGTGGTTAGCGGAACAGGACATTTCAAAGAATGGCAGAAAGATATTTCAAGATTTATCTGGCAAGGGGAGAAGCCAAGAATGAAATGTAAGATGTTAATAGATTGCAAAGACAGAGGTGGCTTCTCCCTACCAGGTTTAAAGTTGTATTATGAGGCGCCCAGTATTTGCTGGCTACAGGAGTGGAATATTTTTAAAAACCAACCCCAGATCTTTTAGCTATGGAAGGACATGATGCTAGATTTGTTGGCATGCATATCTATTGTATGAGAAAGTGAAGGCACACAGAGGATTCCTGAAACATGTGGTAAGAAAGTCAATAAATGAGGTATGGGAGATATATAAAACTTTTTTAGAAGAGAAAACGCCGTGGTGGATCTCCCTGCTAGAAGTGATACCATGAAGAAACTAAATATGAGAAAGAATTGGGTAACTTATAGGGAGTTATTAATGGAAGTGGAACAGCAATAACAGTTTAAAAAGTTCGAAGATATAAGAGACCTTCTAACAGATTGGTTACAGTATCACCAGTTAAATGAGGTTTTTGAAATAGATAAGAGAAAGGGTTTTGCAAATGAAATATTGAGGTTTGAGAAGGAATTGTTGGAAAACAACGTAAAACTACTTTCACAATATTTTTTTTAAAAAATTAATGCATTTTGCTGAATAAAAAAATCCTATTAATACTGCCTTACTGGTGTCCCAAACTATTTTGCTGTTCATTCCTTTATTTAGGTTGAGTTCAAAAAATTATTTTAGCGTCAGTTTGGCCTTTTGCCGGATCTTATCACGATTAATAGATTCTCATTTAGTCTCCATCTCATTGGTAGTTTTCCCTCTTTCTTTAACCAAACTGAGACTGCATTATGATCCAAAATAGTTTTAGGTTTTATTTCAGCTTTGCTAACTCTCAGTGTTAATTCCTTAGTTATCCAAATGGCATTTATCCTTCCCGCTGAGTTATTGGGTCTGAAATATGGGTATATTCTCTTTTAGTTGGGTGTTTTGTTCTCCATGCATTGTAAATGTTTAAAGTTTCTGTCATTCAAAAGAAGAGAAGTAGTTTTGATTGTTTGTTTTCTGTTTTCTCTTTGTTCTATCCAACTCTGGGACAGGCACTCCATTTAAATCACCTAGGAGAACTATCCTTTCTCCCACATATTCTGCTGTTGTTTCCTCAAGTAATTGGGGAAATTCACTTTTTTTAAATTTGGGGCGTAGATACCAATAATTATGAATTTTTCTCCTTGGGCCAAAATCTCGAATGACTATCCTTCCTTCTGGATCTTTTAAATAACAGCATGAGCTGTGGTTTAGCATAAATCACTATGCCCCCTTTTTTGTTTTTTATCTGAGAAAACAAATTCTAGACCTAGTTTCTTATTAGAGAGAACTCTCCTGTGCTTTGTATGACATGAGTTTCTTGCAAACATATCAATATCTAGTTTTTGCTTATTTAAAGCATGCTCCATCTTAATTCTTTTTGCCTTGTCATTTAGTCCATTCACATTCCATATTAGAATTTTTAAATCCATTGGGAGCTCGAAGGCTGTTCGTCCAGAGGCAAGCAGCAGCCATCCGGAAGTCCCATAACTCCATGTAAATTAGCAAAAATGTATGGAACAGGTTTTAACATTTGCTAGAAATGTAAAGAGAAAGAAGGCAACTTTTATCATATGTAGTGGAATTGTAAAATAATGAAAGAGTTCTGGGAAATGATATATAATGAACTAAAAAACAGTTTAAAATGGCATGTGTTAAAAAACCCAGAATCTTTATTATTAGGAATTATAGGTGCAGAAAAACCGAAGGTGCAGAAAAAACATTTTATGTATGCAATGAAAGCCATGTGAATGATTGTGGCCCAGAGATGGTAATATGATAAAGTCCCTACAAGAGAGGAATGACAAACTAAATGGATGGACTATGCTGAGATACAAGAATGACTGGGAAAATCTGAAACCACGAAGACCAAGACTTCATTAAAGAATGGGGGAAATTCACATTGTATTTGGAAAAACACTGTAAGCAATTGAAATCTTTACAAGGACTTAAATAACACTGGTAATGTAACAAGGACTTGAGATACTATGGAAAAATGAAATAATACAGAAAGATAAAATATGCAGAAGAAAAGGATAAATATGTAACCCAGGGAGGGGTGGTGGGAAGTCCAAGAGTTCAAGAGAATCCTGTATTTCTTCTTATTTCTATTTGATTGTCTATGTAAACATTTAATTGAAAATCCAATTAAAAAAATTATTATATGAAGGATGTCAGTTGATCCCTGCTAATATATGCATCCAACCCTGTAGTAAAAACCATTCATCTAACCCATGTGTTATTCTTCTATTACCAATGTTAACAAGTATTCTTCATGAATTGTGGGCTCTTTTTCTCCAATAGGCACTAATCAATTTCTCTCTTCATTGCAGATGAACTGGAAATCAAGAACAAGGGTGACCAGGACATAATCCCCACAATGGAGAAGCCTTATAAATATCTTGAAAGTGGAAAAAGTTTCCATTCCACTTCAGATCAAAGAAATCCCACTGGGAAGAAACCCTATCAGTGCATGGAATGTGGAAAGAGCTTCAATCATAGCTCCCATCTCACTTCCCATCAAATAATTCATACAGGGGAGAAACCCTATCAGTGTATGGAATGTGGAAAGAGCTTCAGTAGCAGGTCCTCTCTGAGTTCCCATCAGAGAATTCATACAGGAGAGAAACCCTATAAATGTGCGGAATGTGGAAAGAGCTTTCGTAAGAGCCACCATCTCACTTCTCATCAAAGAATCCATACAGGGGAAAAACCCTATCAGTGTGTGGAATGTGGAAAGAGCTTCAGTATGAGCTCGAATCTCACTTCCCATCAAATAATTCATACAGGGGAGAAACCATATCAGTGCGTAGACTGTGGGAAGAGCTTCAGTCACAACTCGTCTTTCACTTCCCATCAAAGAATTCATACAGGGGAGAAACCCTATCAGTGTGTGGAATGTGGAAAGAACTTCAGAAGGAGCTCCCACCTCACTGACCATCAAAGAATTCATACAGGGGAGAAACCCTTTCAGTGCATGGAATGTGGAAAGAGATTCTGTTGGAGGACCGATCTCAGTTCCCATCAAAGAATCCATACAGGGGATAAACCATACAATTGCTTGGAATGTGGAAAGAGCTTCAGTCACAATTCCTCTCTTACTTCCCATCAAAGAATTCATAGGGGGAAGAAACCCTATCAGTGCGTGGAATGTGGAAAGAGATTCTGTCGGAGCACCGATCTCACTTTACATCAAAGAATTCATACAGGGGAGAAACCCTATCAGTGCGTGGAATGTGGAAAGAGATTCTGTCGGAGCACCGATCTCACTTTACATCAAAGAATTCATACAGGGGAGAAACCCTATCAGTGTGTGGAATGTGGAAAAAACTTCAGTACAAGCTCCAATCTCACTTCCCATCAAAGAATTCATACAGGGGAGAAACCCTATCAGTGTGCGGAATGTGGAAAGAGCTTTAGTACAAACTCCGATCTCACTAAGCATCAGAGAATTCATACAGGGGATAAACCATACACTTGCTTGGAATGTGGAAAGAGCTTCAGTCACAACTCCTCTCTCACTTCCCATCAAAGAATTCATACAGGGGAGAAACCATATAATTGCTTGGAATGTGGAAAAAGCTTCAGTAAGAGCTCCAATCTCATGACCCATCAGAGAATTCACAGAGGGGATAAACCCTATCAGTGCGTGGAATGTGGAAAGAGCTTCATTACAAGCTTCTGTCTCACTTCCCATCAAAGAATTCATACAGGCGAGAAACCCTATCAGTGCGTGGAATGCGGAAAGAGCTTCAGCTGTAGCTCTGCTCTCAGTTGCCATCAGAGAATTCATACAGGGGAGAAACCCTATCAGTGTGTGGAATGTGGAAAGAGCTTCAGGAAGAGCTCTGACCTCACTTCCCATCAAAGAATTCATACAGGGGAGAAACCCTATAATTGTGTGGAATGTGGAAGGAACTTCAGTACGAGCTCCTATCTCGCTAAGCATCAGAGAATTCACAGAGGGGCAAAATCCTAGCAGTGCATGGAATGTGGAAATGCCTCAGTCACAGCCACAATGTCACTTCCCATCAAAGAATTCATATGGGAGAAACCATACAATTGCTTCAGCTATAGCTCCTCTCTCAGTTCTCATGAAAGGATTCATGCAAAGGGCAGATAAAAACATCCATGATACAGCTTTAGGCTTCATGGAAAAACAACACCTCTTTACCCAAGCCTTTGGCTGATTGACATCAAATGGCCTTTTAAAATGTGGTGTGTTGGGGGGGTTACGGTTTTTTAATTTTTTTGTTTTGTTTTTTATATTATGATTTAATTTTGAAACTGCCCTGAGGGTATAGGGCATAGGAGGCAACACTTAAAGGCTGAGAGGTCTTTGTTTCTGCCCAAAATATTTGAGGGCCCCCCCCCAGTTGATAGGCATTGTCATTCAAATGGTGTGCATACACCACACCATGTGATTGATTATGCAAGGCGGGACTTACCTCTCCCCCAGTATTTTATTCAAGTTGGCACCCCTGGTATAAGATGGTATAGAAATTAAATAAATGCAATAATAAAATAATATCATCTTGGTCGTCTTCCTTTGCACATGTTCCAGCTTGTCAGTATCCTTCTTATTTATTACTATTTTTAAAATTGATGTGTCCTTCATCTGAAGATTTCACGATATAAACATACAGGATGAAAGCATGGCTTTCCCAAAAACAAGTCAAGCCAGAGAAATCTCTCCTCCCCTTTTTTTGGATAGAGTTACAAACTTTGTTGATCAGGGGAAAGCTGTGGAAATAGTGCATCTTGATTTCAGTAAAGCTTTGAATAAGGTTGAATAAGCCAATGTTTATTCAATACATAAATTGCTAATAATCCACCCAGCACTCATGGGAAAAGGTGGTGTAATATTTTAGAATAATTAAATGAAATTGTAACACATGGCAAGAATAAAGTGTGTAATTTCATCAGGACAAGTGATTTGTTGTTTAATGTTGTAACTATCTTCTGTACCATGAAAATAAATAAAAACAACTTTTTCAAAAAAGGAGGTGGAGAGCCATTAATCTGCTTGCATGTGTTGAGTGTTATTTGGACACTGTAAAAAGGTAAAGGTACCCCTGCCCGTACGGGCCAGTCGTGTCCGTCTCTAGGGTTGTGCGCCCATCTCACTTAAGAGGCCAGGGGCCAGCGCTGTCCGGAGACACTTCCGGGTCACGTGGCCAGCGTGACGAAGCTGCTCTGGCGAGCCAGCACCAGCGCAGCACACAGAAACGCAGTTTACCTTCCCGCTCTAAAGCGGTACCTATTTATCTACTTGCACTTAGGGGTGCTTTCGAACTGCTAGGTGGGCAGGAGCTGGGACCGAAAGATGGGAGCTCACCCCACCGCACGGATTCGAATCGCCGGCCATACGATCAGCAAGTCCTAGGCACGGAGGTTTTACCCACAGCGCCACCCGCGTCCCTATTTGGACACTGTAACACCCAGTAATTTCACATTATCTATGTGTTTCTGTGTGTTGAACACACATAATTGCAGGTGAGACTGAATAAAACACCTCCTAGGAAATTCCCCTTTACTGCTCTGTATTGTTTCAAATGTGACTTCATTTACAGACAAGAACAAATCATATTTATTGATGAAAAATCATACCATCATCAGCTCAATAATCTCAACCCCAACAAACCTGTAGGTAGAAATGACGATAATGAACAGGAAGATGGGAGATGAGAGCTGGAGGCCGCCAAGGCAAGGACAGGCTGCCAACAGGTCAGATAGCCTTGGAAGCGTTGTCCACAGATGGTGAGGAAGAGCCAGTCCAAGCTCTCGGTCCTTGATCTCAGTGTTGGGAACACCTCAAAGAAGAGCGGAAGGGGAAGGGTAAATATAAGAGATTCTGGCGTTGCCTTCTCAAAATTTATCTTCTGTACCATGACAATAAATAAAAACACTGTTGTCCACAGACGGTGAGGAAGAGCCCTTAGTCCTGCTCCTGAAAGCTTGGCAGATGTGGAGTATTTCCTCACACATTGCCATGACTGAAAAAACAATCTTAAAAAATTAAAATGGTATTACAGTGCTAAGAACGCAATTCCTGTATTATTTGGCATCTTAGCAAGCCCAGTGCCACTCTGCCAACTGTCTCACTCCCAGCTACCTAATCTGGAAAGCTGCCCTGTCATCTCTGCAAGGACTTCAGTGTCCCTTGAATTAGCAGTTCAGCATTTCTGGAGTGGAAATGATATACCTTTGTATATTAGCATAAAAAACATGCATGAGAAAGTATTACTCATTTATGATGGGAATATGATTTAATCGGCTGTGCTGAGGACTGCAGGGCCTGCTCCCTTCCAAGGCTTTTTCCAACTGGCCTAGAGGGCAGGACCCAGGCCCTCACCCTCCCAGACTCCTGCTGCAGTGCCTAGAGGGTGGGGCTGGATTCATTGGAACAAACTCTTTGGGAATTGCAGGCGGGGGGGGGGTCTTCTACTATTGCTTCACTGTTTCAAGTGTCTAATGTGTTTTAAAATGTTCTTAAGCAGTCTGTGGCATTTTTAGTTTTTTATTCTCCCCCCCCCCCTTTGCTTTGTTGAGGATGGGATGGACATCTAGTTGGGGGTTAATTTAAGTATAATTGTTGTTGCTGTTTTGTTTTTGCTTTTTATTGTTTTATTAGCTGTTGTATAGTTTGTGTTTTGTTTTAAGGTCTTCCTGGGAGTGGGCCCCAGCCAACAGAATGGCTGGGGCAGTTTCCACGGGGGTGGGGGGTGCACTGGCTCATCCGATCTCAGTGACCACGGGTAGGAGGAGGAGTTACGCTAAGGCCAGACCGCGTCATTACCAAGGAAGCAGATTTAGTTGCTGTTTGAGGACTATCCCTGCCTCTGGGTCTGGTCTTGACCGGATGTATCCTGGAATCAGCAAGGGAGACCCACATCTTAAAGTGTTGCTGTGCAATGCCAGGTCAATGACTCACAAGACGGCTGTCATCCATGACTTAATTGTGGATGGAGGACTTGACCTGGCATGTGTGACAGAGACTTGGTTGGATGAAGCAGATGGGCCTGTCCTTGCCGCTGCTTTTCCACCAGGTTTCTCTTACGCACAGCAACCCAGGCCTTGTGGGCGGGGAGGGGGGGTTGCAGTGATTTTTAGGAAGTCATTAGTTTGCACCAGGCGTCCTATTGGGAAGACCCAGTTCTCTGAGTGCATGTTCTGGAAGTTGGGCAATAGGGGCAGTACAGGATTCCTTTTGGTGTACCGACCTCCCCGCTGCACCAAGGATTCCCTGCCCGAGCTGCTTCAGGTCGTGGCGGATGTTCTCCTGGAGACACCTAGCTTGGTCGTCCTAGGGGATTTTAACATCCATGCCGACATGACCTTACAAGGGGCGGCTTGGGACTTCGTGGAAAGCATGGCCTCCATGGGGCTGTGCCTGAATAAGTTTGGCCCAAATCATAGTCACGGACATGCCTTAGACCAAGTGTTCACCTCTGTGGATGTGGGTGATGTGATGCTAAGTAAAAGTGAGACAAATGAAGTGCCATGGTCAGATTTTGCTAATTAACAGGCTGAAAGGAAAATGCCACGCTTTTGCATGAGAAGAACAAAGGAATGTTTATTGTCTTTGCTGGCCAGACAGACAGGCTTGGTGGATTCACATCCAAAAGGACTGAGAACCCTCCTGAAGAAGGGGCCTTCCTAATATACTTTTCCCTTATCTGTTAAGACTATACATATGCATGGAGTACCTTGCAATCATTTGGGATAACACCCTACTAGTGAATCCATATAAGGAATCTGGTTAATTGCATATTAATTAAGCAAGCAAACAAAGGACTCTCTGGGCACCTTCACGCAGCATGTGGGCCTCTTCTGTATTATGCATACACTCTGGTATGTGGTGAACAAGGAGTAAGTGTTGGGATACTGCCAGGGAGATAAAGTCCATCACGGCCCCAAGCCGTGTGCTGGACGATCCATCGATCTCTGGTAGGCACGCAGTATCATCGATTAGCGACATGAGTTTCTAGAAGTTATCTTGCCACATTCTAGAGCTCATGCACACTCTATCAGCAGATAGTCACAGCAGAAGTTGCACTCAGTAGAGCATTATTTACAAGCTTTATTCAGCGTTGGTCAGAACAAAGAAAGACATGACTGCCTGCGTCAGTGTCCTGACAGAGAGAGAAAACGAAAGCAATAGGAAACATAAACATCCTGTGAACAGGACATGCGCAGACTCTGTGACTCACAAAGCCTGCTCCCTTTTAAGGTGGAACGGAAATATCCTAACAGTAAGGCCATTCCTGGTACCTTACGGACAGAATGTCTCCTGATACAATGGGGCAACTCTTTGGTGCAAGATTAGCTGCAGGTCTCTAATTGCCATGGTCAGATCACTTCCTGGTACAACTGGACTTCTCCGTGATGCTTCCCCTTTGCGGGGAGGTAGGACCAATATGGATGCTCCGCCCCCGCCACTTAATGGATCCAAATGGGTTCCAGAGAGTGGTAGGGGATGCTTTATCCCATGTTGATGACCTTTTAGCTGATTCCTGGTGGCCCGCTGGAATGCGGAGTTAACCAGGGCTATCGACTGTCTAGCTCTGAAGCGCCTTCTCTGATTGCATGAAGCGCAGACAGCCCCGTGGTTTTCCCTGGAGCTGAGCACAATGAAACAATTGCTGAGATGGCTAGAGAGCCATTGGTGGAGAACTCATTTTGAATTGTACCAGACACGGGTTAGAGCTCAACGCCAAGCCTACCAAGTGGTGATAGTGATGGCAAAGCGGCCTTTCTTCACCGCCTCTATTGCATCTGCAGAAAACAGCAGGAGGAGACTCTTTCAGGTGGTTTGCAATTTAACAGAACCACCTTTGGCATCGGAGCCTGGTAAAGACCCCAAGATCTCCTGCAATGATCTTGCAAAGTTTTTTTGCAGATAAAGTCGCTTAGACTCGGAAAGAGGTAGATTGCACCGTGGGTGCAAGGCCAGGGCAGGAGGGTGCCAGAACCCTGTCTGGTCAAGTTGTATGGAATGAATTCCAATCTGTTACCTCCAAAGATGTGGCCAGGCTGCTTGGATGAGTGAAACCAACCACCTGTCTCCTTGATCCTTGCCCATCCTGGCTCATAAAAGTGAGCTGGGAAGGGCTGGGCGATGGGTTCTGCGGGGCAGTATATGCTTCCCTCTGTGAGGGAGTCTTCCCAGACCCGCTGAAAGAGGCGGTCATTAAACCGCTTCTTAAAAAAAATATTATTTGGACCTGGCCAATATGGCCAACCAGGGACGCGGACTTATAAAAAATATTGGGGGGCCCGGGAAAGCTCATGAATAATAAATAAGCTCATGAATATGCAAATAAAGTGGCGCCGCCTCCTCGTGAGCGAATAGGGGAGAGCGTGCTGCGCCTATTAATCAGCTCCAAAGGAAATTGGGTGGAGCTTTTGCTCGGGAGGGAGGGCAGGAGGCATGCAGCCCGCCCCTCCCTGTGCATTTTGGGCTGGGGGAGGGGCGGCGATGGCGCTCTGCTGGAGGGGCGCCGGAGATTATTGGGGGGCGGAGCCCCCCCAAACGAATTTTTGAGGGGGCTCAGGCCCCCTCAAGCCCCATGGAGTCGGCGCCTATGTGGCCAACTATCGCCCAGTCTCAAATCTTCCATTCTTGGGTAGGGTGATTTAACAGGTGGTTGCTGAACAACTACAAGCACGTCTGGAGGATCCGGACCATTTGGATCCCTTCCAATCAGGATTCAGGTCTCTCCCCCCCCCCCCCCGCCGCCGCAAAATCGGCTTTAAACGGTTCCATAAATATGTCAATCAATCTATTGGTGGGTGTGGGGGGGAGAGGGGGCGTGGCCCCCGAAGAGAAGCTGCTCTGGTCCAGCACAAGCCCAGCCAGGAGGGAAAGTGGAGGGGGGAGGCAGTTGCACAGAATCCCCACTCCGCCCCAGTTGCTCCTCGTCTCTGGATCTCCACTCCCCCCCCCTTTCTGCGCTCCAGCAATTCAAGCTGAATTGAGAGACTAGCCGGGATCTCTTCAGGGGCGCAGCGTGTCGGTCAGGTTGTGCAAAGGGAGAGAGGGCTGAGCTGGGGGACTCGGCCCTGCAAGGGTTAAAGGGAACCGAGCAGCCTTCCTAGAGAGGCCAGGAAGCAAGGGGGGGCAGGTCCTCCAGAGCCAAGGCCCCTCCCTCCCCAGTCCTTTCCTGCAAGGAAGGGGGTGTTGCTTTGTGTCTCTGCTGCAAGGGCTGCCTCCCTGCCCCCTCCTGGGATCTGGTGAGTCTCCTCTGTCTCTGGGATCTGGTGAGTCTCCTCTCTCTCTGGGATCTGGTGAGTCTCCTCTCTCTCTGGGATCTTGTGGGGGTCCCAGGGCTGCAGCAGGGGAGGGTGGCTCATGGGGGGGGGGTGATCCCAGGAGCAGGGGGTCCTGCCAGGGAGGGGTCGGGGTTGCACGAGGTTTGCAACTACTGTACTGTATGTTCTGCATTTGTAGAAATGTGCTGCTTGCCCCTTCGAGGAGGTGTCTGTGGGTCAGGGGAAAAGGGGCACGCAAATAAACCCCCTTCAGATTTAGGAATCAGCCACGTCTGTTAGCACAGGCTGCAGCCAGACAGAAAGGTTTGGACAATAGATAAATGCTAGAAATGGAAAGCAGCAACAATCCCGACCAACGCAAGAAAGCAAGAAATCCTTTTGGAAGATAGAGGTGCCGAGTTGAACTGTGGAACTCCCTCCCACAGGAGCCAGGGGGGGCCACCAACCCGGGTGGTTTGAAAGAGGATGGGGCCAGTTCATGGAGGAGGAGGAGGAGAGGGCGGTGGGGGCTCCTGAATCCCCCAGGAGGAGAGCTTGGCTCTTTGTGCTCCAGTCCTGCAGGGGCGAAAGGCAGGAGAGGCAGCAGGTTGCCCTGTGGTCAGAGGAGGCTGGACGCAAGAGGGACCCTCTGGCCTCATCCTGGCTGGCACACTTGCGCCCATTCAGACATGCAAGCCCCCAGGGGATCTTTGGAGACTGAACAGAAAGCCCTGCTGAGAATCAGGGAAGATCTTGTCAGGAGTTTCATTCTCTCCTGTGCTGCAGAGTGAGTGTGATTACTAGATCACATGCTCTGTTTGTTGACATTCCATTCTTTGGAAGCCTGGGAAGGGAGGGAACTGCGCACCACGTCTGTCTTCTGTTTTTTTGTTGTTCTCTCTCGGAGGAGAAGAGACACGCCATAATGGCTCTGTTCTTTATTTCGAACCTGTAAATAAATCAGTAAACCCAGATGCTACGCATCCTCAGTCTCATCTTCTGCTGAGCTCTGCTGCTTCCTTGAACTGTCCGGAGGAGTGAATGTGTGCTATGCATTCCAGACCGGTGCCGGGAGAAGGCTGTCTCCCACCCAGAAGCACCAACCAAGGTCTCACCATCCAAGGCAGGAGAGGACCTGCTGGGAAGGAAGCAAGCCTGGGCTGGCGTTGAAAGAGGCAGCTCCCCTCCCTGTGCCCAGTGCTGAGAGTGGTTGGGAGACCCTCTCTCTCCATCCCGTCCCCCCGACTGAGCTCCCATTCCTGGGGATCTCTCAGCAACTCTCAGCATCCTTAGCCAAGTACAGTTCCAGACTTTTTGGAGGAAGCCAGGACTCTTGGTTGTGGCCTGATCCTGCTATGAAGATGCAGCTCCGGTTGGGTCCCCGGTGTGTTTGTTGCTTTTTTATTCTCTTTCTGGAATAACTTTCTGCTGGGGTTTTGTAAACAAGAAGCCTAGGAATAATAAATGATAAAGAGTAATAAGCCGAGTTTCTCAAGTAGTTTGTACATCACAAAAATGACAGAACAAATCTGTGGCAAAATCTGCACCATATGTTTCACTACAAGTGGTCTGTGTATAGCTTCTTAGTTTGTGAGTTAGTTTAAAGCAAAACAGAAAAGGGGGGGGGGAGAACGTTCAGCACCCCACAGCCAAACGTCTAGTCAAGAGCCCTTGTGGATGTGCTTGGGTTAAATTGGAGCAAGTCATTTCCCCCCTTAGGTAGCAAACAAAACAGGATAATATGCTTGTCTGTTGAGGAACCTGGGAGACGGGTTCAAATAGAATGTAATGATTTTTGTTGGAATTCAAATTTAGATGAATCAGATTACACCAAATGATAACGGGGAGTGTGGTGTGTGTGTATTTTCTTGGGCCTTTATTCTCCCCCCACGTTAGACTTCAGGGAACATGTTGGATCCACGAGTACCCCAAGATTACCAAGAAAAAGGGACCCCACCCCAGTAAACCCCCACTCCTACCTCCAGTTGTCTGCAAATTTGGCATTGTACTTTCCTGGGTAGAATCTGGGCTGTGGTACAGTCTTACCCTGGATACTACCAAGTCTCACACAAACTTGCTCAGGGAACCATTTTTCTTCTCCTTATGGTGTATCAGCATTATAACAAAACAATGTATTTGCTTTGTAGGATTTCCTAGCACCTCATTAGCACAGGCAGAACTTGGCAGAAGACCAAAGGGTTCCTTCCAATCTCTTAGAGACTTCCTGAGAGCACAGATGGATGAGCAAGACTCAGCCGGCCCTGGAGCAGGAAGAGGCCATGCCATCCAAACTGGGAGCAGTGGGGGATTCTTGGAAAACTCTGGGCAGAAGATCCTGGGTGAGGAGGACACCCTCCGCTCAGAGGTGCAGAGCCAGCAGTGGAGGCAGTTCTGCTGCCAGGAGGCCAAAGGACCCCGAGAGGTTTGCAGCCGACTCTACCACTTTTGCCACCAGTGGCTGAAGCCAGAAAGGCACACGAAAGCTGAGATGCTGGATCTGGTGATCTTGGAGCAGTTCCTGGCTGTCCTTCCCCCAGAGATGGAGAGCTGGGTGAGGGATTGTGGAGCGGAGACCAGTTCCCAGGCGGTGGCCCTGGCCGAAGGTTTCCTCCTGAGTCAGGCAGAGGAGAGAGAGCAGGTGAGAGAGACTTTCCTCTGGATACTCCCAAGGGGCTCCAAACAGGATGGAGAACATCCCATAATGCTTTAGTGATGGCCCATCCTTTTTCTGGGAAGGCATCCATGGAATGAGATCTATCACCCTTAAACTTTTTATCTTTGTCATTCTCTTTCTAATATTTCTTGTCATTCATTATCTGTTTTTTAATCCTTGTTGTTCTTTCAGAAAAGGGATCATTTTGCAGAAATGGACCTGGATTCCTGTGAGGCAGAGAGGCCTCCGTTGGACACCAGAGAGAGGCCACTGGGTAAGGAGGAAGGTGGTTTTTCTCCATTTGTTCTCATTCATTCTCTATTTCCAACTAATCTGAGGGTTTTTTAATCTTTTTTTGTGGGGCGGGGACTGTTGGGAACAAGGGTCCAGAGGAGGAGAGATGTATTTTTGTACAACTAACATATGAAATGGGCACAAACGTCCAACTGCACTCAGCAGGAAAGGCATTCTCAAAGGCCCATCTGCAGTTAGAGATGCCCTGCTTCACCTGTGAGAGAAGCAGGCATTCCTGGCATCTTGCTTACCTTTTTTCTCTTGCAGGAGACAGAATGATGCTGGCAGGACCTTCTGATCCACTTTTTCATGGGAGCAGAAGGGAAGCAGTGGCTGTGGAACCAGATCAGGTCAGGGGAAGCTGTCTTGTGGAGACAGAGGCCGAGGGGTGGAGCGACAACACTGTTCTGTCAGAGGAGGACATTTCCCTTTTTCTTTCAGGGTCCAGTGTGCTTTGATGATGTTGCCATTCATTTCACGGATGAGGAGTGGGAGTTGCTGGATCTTGACCAGAGAGCTCTGCATAAAGAAGTCATGGAGGAGAATCGTGGGATCATGGCCTCTCTTGGTAAGGCTCCTTGTGGGATCATAATATCTGTTTTTAAATTCAAAATTGCTCTCTGTGACGTACCTCATACATTTTCATAGAATTGAACAGCGCCCCCTTAAATCACCTGGGATTACAATATTCCCACAATAAACCTTGAACAGCGAATTATTATTTTTCCCCGTGAATGTTCTTCCTGAATTTGCAGCTTCTTATACAATCATCAGGCTGGTCTGAATTGCCTAGGCAATTTTAAATGTAAACCTATGAGTTGTTAGGGAAGTTGTAGTAGCTCCTGTCAGGTTTTCTGTTTTTGTTTTGCTCCTGTCAGTCTTTGGTTGACCAAAGAATAGACTGGTATTGGAAATGGAGGGGATTCTATGATGGAGCCAAACAAAATCAATTCAAGAGAAGAGCCAGGCTTATCAAATCACAGGTTCATCTAAGGATGTCAGTTGAGACTTCCAGTTTGCCGTAAAAATGGCAATAGGGTGAGAGTCCAGTTCCTAGGAATGGACTTTTATCACCCCGAGGGGTTGGGGTAAATTGATCATTTTCTCAACTTTCCTTTCCGTAATATGTTGTAACTCTTCATTGCTTGTACTGTCATATATTTAATCAACATTTTGGTTTTTTATTTATTAAGCTTAAAACTGGCAACTTGTCCAAATTCCTGAATCTGAAATGTCCTTGGTTGTATTTCCACCTTTTTCGTTCTTCTTGTTAGTTTGCTGGATGTCCACATCAAGTGTATTCTTCTAGCAGATTGATTTGGCTCCGAGAAAAAAGTATATTCTCTTTCTAATGGGTGTTTAAATCTCCAAATGCCTGCTAATTTAAAGTTTCCCACCAAGTTAAAAAAGGTGGTTGGTGGTCTCCGCTTTTTTGAGTCTGTCTTCCTTATTGTTTTAATAACAAATGTTCAATTTTATTTCTTTTTACTTTATTATTTAGTCCATTTACATCCCAGGTCAAGATTTCCAAATCCATTTCCCAATTACATACACACATATATTAAGGGTCTTTTGTTTTATAATTCTTGTTTATCTTCTTTTTCTTTCTCATCAAGGCCTGGTTCTCCTTCTGATCTATGGTCTCCCAAATCTTTCCTGTACCTTCTCCAGAATTTTTCGGCATCTGATTTGTCCCTACATCTGTGATTCTTCTCTTTGTAAGAGAATGAAATCCCCTGTGGGAATTCCCATCTGTAGGGAATTGTTGTTTCCCAAAGCATTTGTAAAGAATTTATAATTGGTTCTCTTCTTCAGCCGTCTCAGTGGTATTTCTTTCAATATGATAATGTTCTGTTCCTCAATACATAATCTTCTTTTGAATTTCAATTGTAATATTCTGTCTTTAATTCCTCTTGAGTTGAATGTTGTCAAACAGTCTCCTGGCAGATTTTTTGCTTTTGAGAAACTTGATTGAATTCTGAAGACTTTTTCAATTGTACAATTAACAACTTCTTGTAATTCTAGCCAATTTGGCAGTTCTTTTACCATTTTATCTCTTTGTGTCTTCCTCTGCCATTTCTGAAATCCCTCTAAATCTCAAACCCTAAAATATGCAGAGGAAAGGATAAATATGGAACCGGGGGGGGGAGTCCATGGGTTTGAGAGAATGCTATATATCTTACTATTTATATTTGATTGTCTATGTAAAAATTTAATTGAAAATCCAATAAAAAAATTAATGATATAAACAATGTCAGTTGATCCCTGTTAATATATGCATCCAACCCTGTACTAAAACCATCCATCTAACCAAATTGTCATTCCTCTATTACCAGTCTTAACAAGTATTCTTCATGAATTGTGGACTCTCTTTCTCCCATAGGCACTAATCCATTTCTCTCTTCATTGCAGATAATGATGAACTGGAAATCAAGAACAAGGGTGACCAGGACAAAATCCCCACAATGGAGAAGCCTTATAAATATCTTGAAGGTGGAAAAAGTTTCCATTCCACTTCCCATCAAATAAATCCCACTGGGAAGAAATCCTATCAGTGCATGGAATGTGGAAAGAGCTTCAGTCATAGATCCCATCTCACTTCCCATCAAAGAATTCATACAGGGGAGAAACCGTATCAGTGTGTGGAATGTGGAAAGAGCTTCAGAAAGAGCTCCCATCTCACTGACCATCAAAGAATTCATACAGGGGAGAAACCCTATCAGTGCTTGGAATGTGGAAAGAGATTCTGTCGGAGCACCGATCTCAGTTCCCATCAAAGAATACATAAAGGAGAAAAACCCTATCAGTGCTTGGAATGTGGAAAGAGCTTTAAAAGGAGCTCCAATCTCACTTCCCATCAGATAATTCATACAGGGGAGAAACCATACAATTGCTTAGAATGTGGAAAGAGCTTCAGTCACAACTTCTCTCTTACTTCCCATCAAAGAATTCATACAGGGGAGAAACCCTATAAGTGTGTGGAATGTGGAAAGAGCTTCAGTACGAGCTCTGATCTCACTAAGCATCAGAGAATTCATACAGGGGAGAAACCCTATAAGTGTGTGGCATGTGGAAAGAGCTTCAGTGCCAGTTTCTCTCTCACTTCCCATCAAAGAATTCATACAGGGGAGAAACCCTATCAGTGCGTGGAATGTGGAAAGAGCTTCAGTACAAGCTCCTATCTCACTTCCCATCAAAGAATTCATACAGGGGAGAAACCCTATCAGTGCATGGAATGTGGAAAGAGCTTCAGTAGGAGCACTGAACTCACTTCCCATCAAAGAATTCATAGAGGGGAGAAACCCTATCAATGTGTGGAATGTGGAAAGAGCTTCACTAATAGTTCAAATCTCACTAAGCATCGCAGAATTCATACAGGGGAGAAACCACATCAGTTGGTGGAATGTGGAAAGAGCTTCACTAATAGTTCAAATCTCACTAAGCATCGCAGAATTCATACAGGGGAGAAACCACATCAGTTGGTGGAATGTGGAAAGAGTCAGAGTTGTAAAACCCTATCAGTGAGTGGAATGAGTTTCAGTCACAGCCACAGTCTCGTTTCCCATCATAGAATTCATACTGAATAAGCCATATAATTGCTTGGAATGTAGAAAGAGCTTCAGCTATAGCTCCTCTCTCGGTTCCCATTAAATAAATCATACGAAGGGTGGAAAACCCTTCATTGCACAGCTTTAGGCTGCAGGGAAAAACATACCTGCTTGTACCCAGATGGGAGGAAGTCAAATGACACCGAGGGTTGGTTCAGAGAATGTGTTTATTCTGCTCTCCGGATAGCAGAAGGCACTTGTGGGGTCAGTCCACAGCAAGTCCAAAGAAATGAGAAATTTCATGCAGTATATATATCCTCCAGGCACCCTCTCCCTCCTTCCCCAGGAATCCAACCATGTCAGCCTATGTACGCAGGTTGACATCACATATGTTCCTGCTCTGGTATTCTTAACCATAAAAGGGTATTCCTTCCTATACGTCTGACCATAAAAGGATCTTCCTGTTCCTACTCCTATCTTGGAGCAAGAGGTCACCATCTCCAAGAACACTCTCTGGTGCTGTTTCCAGACTAGGTCTGTGCGTCTTTGTGGTCGGGACATAAGATAAGACCTAGAGTGTCATCCCTGTTCTACTGGTACAGTCAAGGTCATCCCTTGCCGTGACTGATAAAGGAGAGAGTTTGTTTATACAGCTGTGTCCTTGTTATGCATTTGCTCAACAGCTCATGTTTTATGCATTTTAGAGTGCTCTCTTGGAGAAAGAAGAAAAGGGGGGTGAGTCAGTTTTAAACTGGCTGCACAAAAACCCATTCCTTCATGCTTAACCAGGCTTTTGCCTGATTGGCATCTAATGCCTTTTTAAAATGTGGTGAGGAGTCAGGATGGTTTACAGTTTTTTAATTATTTTAGTTTTTTATATTGTGGTTTTATGTTGAAACCGTCCTGAGGGTATAGGGCTGCCATAGGCAAACTCGGCCCTCCAGATGTTTTGGGACTACAATTCCCATCATCCCTGACAACTGGTCCTGTTAGCTAGGGATCATGGAAGTTGTAGGCCAAAAACATCTGGAGAGCCAAGATTGCCTACGCCTGGTATAGGGCACAGGAGGTAACTCTTAGAGGTGGAAAGGTCTTTGTTCCCCCCTAAAATATTTGAGAGGCCACCCCCCCACACTTGATAGGCATTGCCATTCAAATGGCGCATGCAGCACATCATATATTTTATTCAAGTTGGCACCCCTGGTATAGGGCGGTATAGAAATTGCTGTATTTTTTGCTGCATAAGACACACTTTTTTCCTCCAAAAAGTAAGGGGAAATGTCTGTGCGTTTTATGAGTGAATGCACTGGACAGCGGAGGGATGCCTCCGCAGCCGGAGCCATGGCTCCCGTCCGTCGCTCGCTGTGAAGCAAGCAAAGCACCTGTCCCGGTGTCTCCTCCTCCTTGCTCCAGTATCACCTCGCTTTGCAGCGAGGCAGGAGGGATTGGCACACAAAGTGAGAGCTGCGCAAAGCGGGACAGAAGCCGTGTAAGTGGCTCTCGCTTTGCTTGCTTAAAGCAAGCAAAGCGAGAGCCGCTTACACACTCTGTGCAAAATCCCCCCCCCCTTATTTTCCTCCTCTAAAAACTAGGTGCGTCTTATGGAGTGAAAAATACTGCACATAAATGCATAAATAAAATAAGACCATATTGGTCGTTCTCATTTGCACATGTTCCAGCTTGTCAATATCCGCATTTATTGCCATTTTTAAAATTTATGTGCCGTTCATCTGAAGATTTCACAATATAAACATACAGGATGAAAGCATGACTTTCTCAAAAACAAGTCAAGCCAGAGAAATCTCTCTCCCCCCCCCCCCGTTTTTTGGATGGAGTTACAAACTTTGTTGATCATGGGAGAGCTGTGGAAATAGTGCATCTTGATTTCAATAAGGCTTTTGACCAAGTCCCCACAATATTTATGTGAGGAAGCTGGTGAAATGTGGTCAGAATGAGGTAACTGGTAGGTGGATTTGACTGACCAAACCGAAAGAGGACTCTTTCATGGTTCTTCATCATCCTGGGGAAAAGTGACAAGAGGGGTGCTGCAGGGTTCTGTCCCAGGCCTGTTGTTGTTCAACGTCTTTATGAATGAGTTGGATGAAGGAACAGAACGGGATGCTCATCACATTTGTGGAGGACACAAAACGGGGAGCGGAGGCCAATGTGGCAGAAGGCAGAATCAGATCAAGGGCAGGAATAGCACCACTTTCTTCTGCCTTGGTCAGACCCCAGCTAGAATAAATACTGTGTTCAATTCTGGGCATCACAGTTTCAGTATCTTAAATTTTGTTTCCTTGGGGAAATCAAAAGGTGGGGGAGCCAATCCACATTCCTTTTACAACAAGTGGCCAATATTTATTGAATACATAAATCTTTAAGACTGTTGCTGGAATCCACCCAGCACTCATGGGAAAATGTGGTGTGATCTTTTAGAGTAATCAAATGAAACGTGTAACGCATGGGATGATGAAGCTCTGCAATTTCATCAGGACAAGGTATTTGTTGTTTACTGTTGTAACCATTGCTTTCTTTGAAATTATATTTTGTACCATGAAAATAAATAAAAGCAATTGTTGTTGTTTTTAAAAAAGAAGGTGTGGAAATCGTGTGTGCTATTCTACAGATCTTGCATGTGTTTTGTGTTATTTGGAGACTGTAACTCCCCGTAATTTCACATTATCTATGGGTTTCTTTGTATTCAGCACACATGATTGCAGGTGAAACTGAATAAAACACCTCCTAGGAAATTCCCTTTGACTGCTTCTGTATTGTTTCAAATGTGACTTCACTTACACATAAGAACAGATCATATTTATTGCTGAAAAATCATGTCATCGTCGGCTCCTTAATCTACCCCAACAAACCCTGCGCTTTACATGAGCAACTGCTTTATTTCTATTTCTTAGGTGGAAAGAACTGATAAGGAAGAAGGGAGATACACCCTTTCCCTCAACCTTTGGGGATGGGGGGGGGCTTCATTTCACCCCTTAGTCCTGCTCCTGAAAGCTTGACAGATGTGGAGTATTTGCTCACACTCTGCCATGACTTAAAAATCAACCTTTTTATTTTTTAAAGAAATGGTATTGCAGTGCTAAAAAGTCTCAAGAAAGCAATTCCTGTAGCAGCTGGCATCTTAGCGAGCCCAGTGCCACTCTGCCAACTGTCTCACTCCCAGCTAACTAATCTGGAAAGCTGTCCTGTCATCTCTGCAAGGACTTCAGTGTCTCTTGAATCACAATTAAGCATTTATGGAAGGGGGAATAATATACTTCTGTATATTGGCATAAAAAGCATGCAGAAGAAAGCATTACTCATTTATGGTGAGAATGGGATTTATTTATTTTGAACTTCGCATGGTTCCTCCTTGGCAATGGTTTCATCAGGGCTGGAACTCAGGACCCGCTGCCTTGAGGGACACCTAAGAGCAGTTGGGCAGGGAAAGGTCTCCCTTGGGAGGCGGTGGACTCTCCTTCCTTGGAGGTTTCTCAGCAGAGATCGGACGGCCATCTGCCCTGGATGCTTTAGCTGAGATTCCTGCCTTGCTGGGGGTGGGACTGGATGATGACCCAGGGATCAGGGCCGTATCTAGCGGGGGGGCGAGGAAGTCCCCCCCCAGGGGCATAGGCGCCCCCTCCCCGCAAAATCGGCTTTCAAACGGATCCATGAATATGTCAATCAATCTATGGGTGTGGGGGGGAGGGGGCGTGGCCCCCCAGGAGAAGCTGCTCTGGTCCAGCCGGGAGGGAAAGTGGAGGGGGGGGGAGGCAGTTGCACAGAATCCCCCCTCCGCCCCAGTTGCTCCTCGTCTCTGGATCTCCACTCCCCCCCCCCCAATTTCTGCGCTGCAGCGATGGATTAGAGAGACCCTTCGCGAGCCGGGATCTCTTCGGGGCTGAGCCGGGGGAGTCGGCACTGCAAGGGTTAAAGGGAACCGAGCTGCCTTCCTAGAGAGGCCAGGAAGCAAGGGGGGGCAGGTCCTCCAGAGCCAAGGCCCCTCCCTCCCCAGTCCTTCCCTGCTTTGTGTCTCTCTCTGGGATCTGGTGGGGGTCCTAGGGCTGCAGCAGGGGAGGAGACCTGGGGGGCTGAGCTGCTCAGGTGGGGGGGACCCCAAGTCAGGGGGGAGAGGGTCCTGCCAGGGAGGGGCCAGGTCTGCAACACTCTCCTTCCTGCAGATCAGAGGATCCCAAACTCATTTGGCCCTCCGCCCACCCCCTTTCAGAAAAAACCTCCCTTCTTTAAACAAAGGAGTCCCTAGGACTTTAACTCTGTGTGACATCGCTCAGCCTCATTGCACAACAGAGGAAACATGTACAAATGGTTTTCCAAAGCTGGACGAGGAGGTGGACTAGCCCCCCCCAAAAAAAAAAACACCAAGGGGAGGAAGGAAGGAAAGTTGGGAGAGGAAGGCCAGGAATAAAGAGAGGGATCCCAGCCCATAGCCTGGCTGCTGCATTGGGGACCAGTTTCCCAGTGTCTCCCAGGGCAGCTCCCCACGGAGGCCACTGCAGCAATCCCCTCGCACCCAGAGCAGGGCATCCCAGGACCACATCCTCTCTCTCCCAAAGGGATTGTTGCTGGAAAACCAGCCGGAAATGGGCGCTGCTACTCACTGAGCCTCCAGGGACCTTGGCATCAATGGCTGTGCGTGTGTTAAGCCATCTAAGAGAATAGTAATAATAAATTACCCTCCTAAATTTCAAGGGATATGTCTTTGGCCCCACCCACTTGGCCCTCAGGGGGTTGACCAGATACATTCCTGGCCCTCAGAGCAAAGAAAAAGGGACCCCACCCCAGGAGTCTGTCTGGAGAGCGGCAGAGAGTCCAAGTGCAAGAAAAGGAGACAGAAGCAGGGGAGTAGGGGTGGGGGGAGGAACTCCTGAGGACCCCCAGGTGAGGACCCCCACTAGAGCCAAGCATCCATTTTTCACAAGATACAAATGACTCCCTTGTCAGTCAGTTCTGACTTCATGCATTGATTGGAAGGCAGGAGCAACCAGGCTGATTAAAGGTTAAGGTAAAGGTACCCCTGCCTGTACGGGCCAGTCGTGGGGTTGCGCGCCCATCTCGCTTAAGAGGCCGGGGGCCAGCGCTGTCCGCAGACACTTCCGGGTCACGTGGCCAGCGTGACAAGCTGCGTCTGGCGAGCCAGCACAGCACACGGAAATGCCGTTTACCTTCCCGCTAGTAAGCGGTCCCTATTTATCTACTTGCACTAGCTTTAGTGGCCGAGGGAGCCGGCGTACAGCTTCTGGGTCATGTGGCCAGCATGACTAAGCCGCTTCTGGCGAACCAGAGCAGTGCACGGAAATGCCGTTTACCTTCCCGCCGGAGCGGTACCTATTGATCTACTTGCACTTTGATCTACTTGCACTTTGACGTGCTTTCGAACTGCTAGGTTGGCAGGCACTGGGACCGAGCAATGGGAGCGCACCCCGCCGCGGGGATTCGAACCGCCAACCTGACGATCGGCAAGTCCTAGGCGCCTTACGGATTCTGTTGTTTCTTCTGACCTACTGATTCTGTAACAGAACAATGTATTTGCTTTGTAGGATTTGCTAGAGCTTCTCATTCAGACAGACAGAACTTGGCAGAAGACCAAAGGGTTCCTTCCGATCTCTCAGAGGCTTCCTGAGAGCACAGATGGATGAGCAAGACCCAGCTGGCCCTGGAGCAGGAAGAGGCCATGCCATCCAAACTGGGAGCAGTGGGGGATTCTGGGGAAACTCTGTGCAGAAGATCCTGGGTGAGGAGGGCACCCTCCGCTCAGAGGTCCAGAGCCAGCAGTTGAGGCAGTTCTGCTGCCAGGAGGCCAAAGGACCCCGAGAGGTTTGCAGCCGACTCTACCACCTTGACCGTCAGTGGCTGAAGCCGGAAAGGCACACGAAAGCTGAGATGCTGGACCTGGTGATCTTGGAGCAGTTCCTGGCTGTCCTTCCACCAGAGATGGAGAGCTGGGTGAGGGACTGTGGAGCAGAGACCAGTTCCCAGGCGGTGGCCCTGGCCGAAGGTTTCCTCCTGAGTCAGGCAGACGAGAGAAAGCAGGTGAGAGAGACTTTGCTCTGGATACTCCCAAGGGGCTCCAAACAGGATGGAGAACATCCCACAATGCTCTACTTTTGGCCCATTCTTTTCCTGGGAAGGCATCTATAGAGATCTAACACCCTTAAAGCTTCTGTCTTTGTCATTCTCTTTCTAACATTTCTCGCCATTCATTCTCTGTTTTGAATCCTTGTTGCTCTTTCAGAAAAGGGATCGTTTTGCAGAAATGGACCTGGATTCCTGTGAGGCAGAGAGGCCTCCGTTGGACACCAGAGAGAGGCCACTGGGTAAGGAGGGAGGTGGCTTTTTTCCGTTTCGTCTTGTTCTGTTGGTTTTCCAGCTCATCTGAGGGTTCTTTTCATCTTATTTTGGGGAGAACAGTTGGGAACAAGGGTGCAGAGGAAGGGAGGAGTATTTCTGTACAACTAACATATGAAATGGGCACAAACGTCCAAATGTTCTTAGCAGGTGTGGCTACCTTTGAAGGTGACCCGGAAACTGCAATTAATCCAGAATGCATCAGCTAGATTGGTGACTGGGAGTGGCCGCTGGGACCACATAACACCGGTTCTGAGAGATCTGCATTGACTCCCAGTACGTTTCTGAGCACAATTCAAAGTGTTGGTGCTGACCTTTAAAGCCCTAAATGGCCTCAGTCCTGTATACCTGAAGGAGCATCTCCACCCCCATCGTTATGCCCGGACGCTGAGATCCAGCGCCAAGGGCCTTCTGGCGGTTCCCTCATTGCGAGAAGTGAGGTTACAGGGAACCAGACAGAGGGCCTTCTCAGTAGTGGCGGCCACCCTGTGGAACACCCTCCCTTCACATGTGAAGGAAATAAGCAGCTATCTTCTCTTTAAAAGACATCTGAAGGCAGCCCTGTTCAGGGCAGTTTTTAATATTTAACGCTGCACTGTTTTTAACACTTGATTGGGAGCCGCCCAGAGTAGCTGGGGAGACTCAGCCAGATTGGCGGGGTATAAATAATAAATAATTCTTCTTCTTCTTCTTCTTCTTCTTCTTCTTCTTCTTCTTCTTCTTCTTCTGAAAGGCCCATCTGCAGTTAGAGATGCCCTATTTCACCTGTGAGAGAAGCAGGCACTCCTGGCATCCTGCTTACCTTTTTTCTCTTGCAGGTGACAGAATGATGCCGGCAAAACCTCCTGATCCATCTTTTCATGGGGGCAGAAGGGAAGCAGCGGCTGTGGAACCAGATCAGGTCAGGGGAAGCTGCCTTGTGGGGACAGAGGCCGAGGGATGGAGCAATGGAGGAGCAAAGGCAGGCTGCACAATGGTGCACTATTTGAACCCTTGCCAGAAACCCCAGAGAGGAGGGGGAGTTAGAAAGCTGTGGGGAGCCGGGAGCCTTCACTCTCAGCAACTGCTTTTGTGGAGGAAGAGACTCAGGGAATGAGCTGCTGTTCTCATGAGGCCCGAAACGCAGCCAAGTCTGTGAATATCGTGTTCTTTCTGATAAAGAGTTAACTCCAGCTGTGAACTGTGGGATTTCCTGCCCAGATAACTCTGTGACACCAGCCTTCTGAATATTGCAGTGCAGAATCAGAGGCAGAAGAGGAAGGAGGCGAGTGGGAGGAGGGAGGTTGAGTGGCAGAGGTGAGTCAGGAGAAGGAGGAGCCACCAGGGGCTCCCTCTCCTTCTGCCAGAAGCCCCCCTCCCTGCTTGTCTCTCAGAGCCAGGAGACGTCTGACAATGGAGGAGCAAAGGCAGGATGCACACTGGCGCACTGTTGGATCGCTTGCCAGAAACCCCAGAGAGGAGGGGACTTGGAAAGCTTTGGGGAGCCGGGAGCCTTCACTCTCAGCAACTGCTTTTGTGGACGAAGAGGCTCAGGGAATGAGCAGCTGTTCTCATTAGGCCTGAAACTCAGCCAAGTCTGTGAACATCGTGCTCTTGCTGACAAAGAGTTAACTCTTAAAAAGAGTTAACCCACTAAAAAAACACACAGCCATTAACAGGAAGGAAACAACAGAGCATTGTGTAGCAGATCATATTTCTGCCGTCTCAGAGGAGGACATTTCCCTTTTTCTT